TATGCACACCTGATATAGGGTGTTGATGTAATTAGACTACACCCCTTCTCATTACAGAGATGCACATCACCTAATATGCTTAATTGGTAGTAGGCTTTCGAGCCTATACAGCTTGGAGTAAGACAACATGCATAAAGAGGATGATGTGGTCAAAATACTCATTTGCCTAATAATTCTGCACTCCCTGTATTATGTATATTATAAAAAATAAATAATAATGAAAATTAAATAAACTGTAAAAATATATATTTTAAATTTTATATATATTTAAGGAAACAATACTAAAGGAGGGTGTTCCACATTATTAAGCAGAGCACCATTTTCATGCAATATGGGGAATCAAAAGGATCTCTCTGCTGCAGTGAAATAGTTCAATGCTTTGGACGAGGTATGAAGACATTAGATATTTCACGAAAACTTAAGCGTGATCATCGCACTATTAAGAGATTTGTGGCTGATTCAGAGCACAGACGGGTTTGTGCAGATAAAGGCACATTGAGATTTCTGCCAGATCCATGCATCGGATCAAGAGAGCAGCTGCTAAAATACCATTACATAGCAGCAAACAGATAGTTGAAGCTGCTGGTGCCTCTGGAGTCCCACGGACATCAAGGTGTAGAGTCCTCCAGAGTCTTGCAACCTTCTATTCGGCCACCACTAACCAATGCTCACAAGTAGAAATGGCTGCATTGGGCAGAAAAATACATGAAGAATAATTTTCAAACAGTCCTGTTCACTGATGAGTGCCGTGCAACACTGGATGGTCCAGGTGGATGGAATAGTGGATGGTTGGTGGACGGCCACCCTGTTCCAACAAGGCTGCGATGTCAGCAAGGTGGTGGTGGAGTCATGTTTTGGGCCGGAATCATGGGAAGAGAGCTGGTTGGCCTCTTTAGGGTTCCCGAAGGTGTAAAGATGACCTCTGCAAAGTATGTGGAGTTTCTGACTGACCACTTTCTTCCCTGGTACAGAAAGAAGAACTATGCTTTCCGTGATAAAATCATCTTCATGCATGACAATGCACCATCTCATGCTGCAAAGAATACCTCTGCATCAATGGCTGCTATGGGGATAAAAGGAGAGAAAGTCATGGTTTGGCCTCCATTCTCCCCTGACCTCAATCCTATTGAGAACCTTTGGAGAATCCTCAAGCAAAAGATCTATGAGGGTGGGAGGCAGTTTACATCCAAACAGCAGCTCTGGGAGGCTATTCTGACATCTTGCAAACAAATTCAAGCAGAAACTGTCCAAAACTCACAAGTTCAATGGATGCAAGACTTGTGAAGCTGCTATCAAATAAGGGGTCCTATGTTAAAATGTAACGAGACCTGTTAAAAAGTTTAAAAAGTTAAAATGTTGTTATAAGTTTGATTGAAATAGCTTTTGATTTCAGTAAATATGCTGCAAACACAACAAATTACAATTTTCAGTTCTTTACAACCTGTAAAGTGTTTTGAAACTTACTGTAATAATTTGGAACAGTGCATTGTAAGTTTTTTATGTTTAAAAAAAATACTGTTATCAGGAGGTTTGTTCAATAAAATTTGAATTGTACTCTTAATAGTTGAGAACATGAGAATTATGCGGACTGTTATTTACATCGATTATTTAAGTAAATGAGAAAAATATAATTTGCATAATAATTTGGAACAGGGTGTATATGTAATTTTATTCTAACTGTATTTTGATATTAATATATATATATATATATATATATCAAAATACACTTAGAATAAAATTATATATATATATATATTTTAATATCTATGTATATACCCTTAACGACTGTGGATGTACTACATACACCCAACAAAAAAACAGTTGTTAAGGAGCCCTGGACTTACCTGGACCGGCGATCACGGTCAGGGGGGACTGCAGAAGACCCAAGTAGTCCCCCTGCAGCAGCTCCGGCCACCATGATCACATCACCGCAATAGGAGTCTAGGAGGTGCCAGCAATGGGACTGTCTAAGCTGTCAGATGGTCCCCCAGGCTGCTAAAAAGTAAATATATATATATATATATATATATATATAATATAAATTTAAACAATTTTTTTTTTTATAAAAAAACAAATAAAAACGCTAACTTTGCCCAGCGTTTGTGACTAAGTTGCTAATACAAGACTGGAAATACCCCATTTGGAATGCCCTGGGTTATCTACATTTGAAAATGGTATGCCATGATGGAGTTATTTCACATTCCTGGGCTACCATATGGTCTCAAAGGGCAACACAGACCCAGCAAACCAATCTGGCAAACTGAATTGTGCAAGCCCTTTATTGACCCTGTACCTTTTCAAACTACCATAAAACCTGTACCTAGGGTGTATTGTTATACTCAGGAGACTTTGCTGAACACAAATACGAGTGTTTACAACAGTAAAATTTATCACGATGATGAAATCACCAGTAAAAGTGCAGTTTTTGTTTTAAAAAATGCAAAAAACAAATAAAAACGCTAACTTTGGCCAGCGTTTGTGGCTACTACAAAAGACTGGACATACCCCATTTTGAATACCGTGGATTATCTACTTTTACAAATGGTATGCCATGATGGGGTTAGTTTTCATTCCTGGGCTGCTATACGGTCTCAAATGCAAATGCCCAGCAAACCAATCTGTCAGCTTTCAATGTGCAAACATGGAAAGGGGAAAGCCCTACATTTGACTCCTGTAAGTTTGCAAAAACCCATAAAACCTGTACATTGGGGGCACTGTTGCACTCGGGAGATGTTGCTGAACACATATTGGGTTGTTCTTTGTCAGTAACACATAACAGGAACTGAGAATCCATGCCTAAAGTACAATGCGAGAGAAAAATAAAACAAAAAAATGACAACCCAAAAGTTTGACAAAGACTGGTGGTAGAATTAGTGCATGGAAAGTGTTAAAATACCACCATTTGAAATTCCATATGGTGTCTACTTTTCAAAAATATATGGTTTGATAGGGGTAAATTACATTTGCCAACTTAAAAAAATGTCACAAATAGGACATGGGTGTATGATGACCAACTGTGAAAATTTCAAATTGGAAAACTGGAATGCGACCCCTCCAAATAAGGTCTTTTAGCCCCCAGAGAACCCGACACACCTATACATGGGGGATAACTGTACTTAGGAGATGCTCGATAACACATATTGGGGTGTTCTTTGACAGTAACCCTTAAAATTCTCAATACATGTATTCTTAAATTGCTATGTGTGTGGAAAAAAATCACCAATTATTATTTTTTTTTTTAAACATTTGGCATAGATTGGTAGTAAAATAGTTGGATGAAAAGCGTCAAAATACCCCAAGTTTAATACCTTAAGTTGTCTTTTTTTTTTTTTTTTAAATATATACACATGTGAAGGGTCATTATGGGATTGCTGACAGATATTAGTGTTACAATGTAACTTGCATTAATTTTGAAAAAAAAATGGTTTGGAAATAGCAAAGTGCTACTTGTACTTATAGCCCTATAACTTTCCAAAAAAAGCTAAGAACATGGTAACATTGGGTATTTCTAAACTCAGGACAAAATTTAGAAACTATTTAGCACATGTGTTGTTTGGGGGTTGTAGATGTGTAACAGATTTTGAGGGTCAAAGTTTGAAAAAGTGTGTTCTTTTACATTTTTTCATAATATTTTATTTATAGTAAATTATGTGATATAATAAAAATAATGGTATCTTTAGAAAGACCATTTAATGGCGAGAAAACTGTATATAATATGTGTGGGTACAGTAAATGAGTAAGAGGAAAATTACAACTAAACACAAACAGCACAGAAATGTAAAAAGAGCCCTGGTCCTTAAAGGGACTCTCCAGTGCCAGGAAAACATATTTGTTTTCCTAGCACTGCTGGACCCTACAGTGCCCCTCTCCCTCCCACCCCCCATCCCAAGTTACTGAAGGGGTTAAAACCCCTTCAGTGACTTGCCAATGTCCCTCAGCGCTGGGTCAGGCTCCACCTACTCTACAGCAATGGCATGCTTTCCTATGGGGATTTCGGCGACGCTGGAGGTCCTCCAGCGTTGTTTAAAACACTTTTCGTGTTCTAAGAACACGGAAGTCCCTCTAGTGGCTGTCAAAGAGACAGCCACTAGAGGAGGACTTAACCCTGCAAGATATATATTGCAGTTTAAATATATTGCAGGGTTACGGGTGGTGGGAGTTGGCAACCACACAACTCCAATGGGCAGAAGTGATCTGGGTGCTTGGAGTGTCCCTTTAACCCCTTAAGGACACATGACATATGTGACATGTCATGATTCCATTTTATTCCAGAAGTTTGGTCCTTAAGGGGTTAAAGGTAAGAAAATTGAAAAATGGTCTGGTCACTAAGGGGTTATAGAAATCTATGTCTCCTTATAACTTGCAATCTAAGAAACTTAAAAATTCTATTAATTCCAATGACATTACACTTGTTATGAAACTGTTAGTATAAGATGTGGATTTCCAAGTCAGTATGAGGCTGCTTGCAGCAGGTTAAAGAGAATCAAATAATCAATAATTCATGCTCCTTTATTGATAGTGTTGTACGCTTTAGCAAACAAAATAATGGTCTCTACTGTCAGGATCTGCTCTGCTCTGATGTCTGACTTGGCTTCTGGTGTCCAGTACTCCTTTTGCTATTCTTGTTTTGGTTTTCTGGTTTTCTAGTCTATGTCTGGTTTTCTTTATTGCTGGGATTTCTGGGTTCATTTCTGTAATCTGTCCCTGGGATTCCCAGTCTCCAGGTTTCCTTTAAATGTTTGTTTTATGTTGCCACACTCGTTTGTTTTCCATCATTCCTTTTGTTTCAGCCTGGACCTGCAGCAGTGTTTCAAGTCTCTGCCCTTTTTTGCAGGTAAGTGCTATTGTGGTTTAGTGTGGTTCTTTTAGCAAACACTAGGCAGTGTAGGACCTGCCGATTATGGGGTACATTGGCGTTGTGGCAGGCTTATGCAATGTATGATGATATAATGTAACTAAATCCCCATACTTTTCATATATAGTGCTTAGTTATGTCTCCTCTTGTTTTGCCTATTATATCTTGTCTTGTTTTATTTTGTTATCCCAGTCCATGTACAGTCCTGTCCTGCCCCTGTTTAGTTAATGTTCCCTCATGTCTTGTGTACATGTTCTGGGTTTAGCTTTCTGTCCTGCTCTGGTTCTGGGTTCTACTAGTTCTGTCTTGTTTTAATGTTTGGTGCCTGTTCTAGTCTGGATACACTCCTGCTTCAGTGTCTCCCTGTTCAGCCCCTGGGAGGTCTGCTTAATTCCAAGCTCCTAGTTCTTGGGATTCGCATAAGCTGCATCAGGGTTCTGGTTGTGGCTGCACAAAAGCTGGTGCTCAACACCAGTCCCTGATAATCCACTTCCACACTGTGACTCCTACTCTCAACATCAGGCATACTGGGTCCTGGTCCACGCTCCGCCGCCTGGACAGTGTCGGGGTCCCGGGCACCGGACCGCCACCCTGACATCTACTACTTTTTCACCTCTGATTTTATAAATTGGAAAAATACCCCTAAATTTAGTGATGACCTTCTGGCTCTGTTGAGCATAATCTTTGAAACTCTGTATCAAGCTGCCTGTAGGAAGAAGCTAGCAGGCAGGACTTGGCATTGACCGAATAGTGGAAATCGCAACTCTACGTAGATAAAGAAATGTTTTCACTACAGAGACAGAAATCATATTGAAAGTGAATGCATTTTCAGAGATTGCAAAGGTGATTCCAGGAGATTCCCCTATGGAGAGGGAAGGCTTTATTTTTGTTAAATACTATAAGTCGTGACACGGTGTGATAGGTCATGTGGTGTTCATCTGAGGTTGTTTTATAACCTGCTAAGGAACAGAGGAAAGTTATTATGTCCTGATATGTGAAACCATATGTAACAACAAGCCCAGTATGCCTACAAAAGGACAAATGGATTATACAGCCTGTGACGAAGTGTCCTTCGCCACTTGGTCCTGGAGAGGCCTTCTTGCCAGTCTCCTCCCCTGTGACTATGACTCTTTCATCTATCTGGCTTTAAAGCCCCTAGTCTACCTTCAAACAGACTATTTATGTGGGCTGCTTTATTTATCCTATGTTTTAGTCACCCTGTACCCATTATAGGTGCAGGGTGTGTGTAATGTAATTGTTTATAGTGTGTGTGTGTGTACTGTGTAATGTATTGCCTGCTCTCTTGTATTGCTGAGGTTTGCTACCAACTAGGTGGGTTTGGCTATGGAGCTGGTCTAGTGCCCTCTGTTGGTAGCAACAGCAATATGCACTACCTGAATTGCAAGACTGGTTCATTTGCATATTCGGGTAGATTTGCATATTGCTAATTCTGCAGGCAGGTGAGATATTTACTGTTAAATATTGTCTCCCCCCACCCCTTTAAAAATGTGCCATTGTGTTGTGATAAGTCACTGTGTGTTTCTTGATATGGTTTGACTGTTTGTGATTTTATTGAGGTTTCACAACAATGTTATTGTGGTGACTATTGGCTGGTCCCAAGGGAATAAAGGTTTTGACAGTTCTTCTTGACCCTTCAAAACGTAGCCTTGTCTCGTTCTTGAAAGGGGAATCTCTGCAGCTTAATCACTTAGCTCTTTTCAGAGCTGCACCTGGTTTCCACTCCTGATCCAGCAGAAGGGAATAGGCGACTCCATCACTACACAGCGACTGCCAGGAAGAAAAGGACGTCCCTAACGGCTGGTACCCTCTCTACACCAGGGTAGCCGTTACATTGGTGGCAGCGGTGGGATGGTCCTTTCATCCACAGCGCAGATGCTGGATGGAGTCTCAATACGCTAAATTGAAGAGACCTACCCTAAAGGATCTACTGGAGAACCGGGGAAGGATTGCCAGTAACAGACCACGGAGAGAGCTGATCGCAGACCTACTAGAGCTGGACGAAATGGATCGGTCCATGGACGTAACAGAGACACAGAGGCCAGACAGCGAGGAGGACGAGGTCGCCCGCATCGTACAGAGGAGACTGGCCTTCTATCCAGAGACATCAGTGGAGCTGATTGAGCGGCTGTTCCTCGATGCCAAAGCAAATATCCGGGAGAGGAGGGGGCACGAAATCGAACTGGTAAGAGCTCAGCAGCCCATTACACATGCAGTTCCTACCTCCCCTCCGCCTACTAGCCCTAAGAAAGTGCCATTTACTGCGTTCAAGGCGTTTGTCGAGAATGAAGAGGAGATCGATGGATATTTAGCCGATTTCGAGAGACAGTGCTCTTTACACCAGTTACCCCCTGACCAATGGGTTACCATCTTAGCTGGGAAGCTGTCCGGCAAGGCTAACGAGGCCTTTCGGGCCCTCACTGCAGAGGATATTACACAGTACCAGCAGGTCAAAAACGCCCTGTTAGCCCGTTATGCTGTGACGCCAGAAGCATACCGCCGACGGTTCCGTGAGTCTAAAAAGAAAGCCGTGGACTCGCACATGGAATGGGCCAACCGTCTACAGAGTAGCCTCCCACTGGGTCCAAGGATGTAACGCCAGTACAGGGGAGGAAGTCCTGCAACTTTTCTTAATGGAACACTTCTTCCAGGACTTAGCAGCTGATCTACAGGACTGGGTAAGGGATCGACGACCCAGCAACTTAAAAGAGGCGGCTCGGCTCGCGGACGAGTATGCCGAAACAAGGAGAGTTAATCAAGGCTCTCACCGCACAACCAGCAGGCCGGAACCACGTACCCCAGCCAGCAATTTTCGCCCGGAGTTCCGTGCTCCCGTACCACCAGGGCCCCCTCGCCCAAAGGGTTCCCCCAGCTACCCAAGAGATGTATCTCGGATGGCGTGCCATCGCTGCAACAACCTGGGGCACATGGCCCGTAACTGCCCCCTGGGGTCAGCAGCCAACAACTGGCGACGACCCTCACCACCTACAGAGACCGCATCACCCCACACTCCTTTTTCGTCCCCACGTACCTCAGCCGCCCATTGCCTGGAGACAGAGGTGGGTCCCGAGGAATGCCTGGGTATTTTGTATGAGGCGGACCCGATACAAGCTGCCTCCCCAGATAATCGACAACACCATCGACAAGAAGTGCGGGTGAACGGACAGGTGGCGCAAGGATTAAGAGACACTGGGGCCACCATTACATTAATGCAGAGACACCTGGTGAAGCCTGAACATTTGTCCAACCGAACTGTGGCTGTACGAGTTGCTGGAGGAGCTGTGTTCCGTTTACCCACTGCTAGGGTACACCTGGATTGGGGAGTCGGGTCTGGGAAGACCACTGTGGGCATCATGGATAATTTACCCGCAGAAGTCGTACTAGGCAATGACATTGGCCCGCTTGCATCAGCGTATCTACCTACGACTGCTGCCGCCTGCCCAGTGACCACACGTTCCCAGGCGTATGCTGCCGATGACCCTGCACCAGGACGGGAGACCCAGGTAAGCCACGACCCAGCCCCTAGGCCAGACCCCATAGAGAGACCCTTAGCTTGGGATACCCCCGAAGCATTTGGGAGGGAGACACGAGCAGATCCTACCCTCCAAAAATACAGGGAGCTTGCCGATAGTGGGGGGAGTGAGAAGGAACGTTTTATCTGGGATAATGACCGACTGTATAGATTGACAGAAGGGAAAAAGACAGGCAGTGTCCCATCACAGAAGCGCCAACTAGTGGTACCCAGAAAGTACCGGTTGGAACTTCTGCGAATCGGACATGATATTCCCTTGGCAGGACATTTAGGAGGTAACCGCACTACCTACCGGATTACCCAGACCTTCTTTTGGCCGGGAATCTCAAAGGACGTGCGACGTTACTGTAGTACTTGTGACGTGTGTCAACGAGTAGGGAAGCGAGGGGACCACCCGAAAGCCAGACTGTTACCCATGCCAGTAATCGAGGAACCATTTAGCCGGGTGGCAGTCGATCTGGTGGGGCCCTTGCCGAATCCCAGTCCCTCCGGTAAGAAATATATTCTTACCGTAGTGGACTACGCTACCCGCTACCCGAAAGCCGTCGCGCTGACGAATATCCAGGCCGACACTGTCGCCAGTGCCTTGGTCGGGATATTCACCAGAGTGGGGTTTCCGCAAGAAATTTTGTCTGACCGAGGGATGCAATTTACCGCAGATCTGACCCAACAGTTATGGAAGGTCTGTGGTATCAAGACCCTGTTCAGCTCGCCATACCACCCCCAGACTAACGGGCTCTGTGAACGCTTTAATGGTACCCTAAAACAATTATTACGGACCTTTACGGCGGAATACAGAGACTGGGAGCGATTCCTGCCGCACCTCTTGTTTGCCTACCGAGAAGTGCCGCAGGAATCCACGGGGTTCTCTCCGTTCGAGTTGCTCTATGGATGACGGGTGCGAGGCCCCCTCGACCTCATCCGAGAGCACTGGGAAGGAGAGACGGAACATGAGGGTGTCCCGATTGTACCATATGTTCTGGAGATGAGAGACCGCATGGAACAGTTAGCTCGGATGGCTAGAGACCACCTACATGCGGCCCAGGGTCGACAGAAGAGATGGTATGATAGGGGTGCCCGCCAGAGAACCTTCCAGGTGGGGCAGAAAGTGCTAGTGCTCAGACCAGTAAAAGGGAACAAGCTCCAGACCTCGTGGCAAGGCCCTTACAAGATGGTAGCACAAATATGTGATACCACTTACGTAATAGCCAGTAGCAAGGACGACCGGGTTCGGAAATCCTTCCATGTGAACCTACTAAAAGAATATCAGGAAAGGGCCGAGGATATTGCAGCCATCTGCAGTCCCAGTGCAGAGGACTCAGACGGGCTGCCTATCCCTGACTTGTTAGCAGGTCCCGAACCAAGTCATATCCTTGACACTATCCATCTAGGGGAGCGATTGAACCCGGCAGAAAAGGGACAGCTCAGACAGCTGTTGACAGAGAAGAAACTGACATTCTCCCAAGAGCCAGGGTACACGACGTTAGCTACCCATTATGTGGAAACCCCAGGGCAGACGCCACTTAGGCAGACCCCTTACAGGATCCCAGAGGCAGTTAAGGAAGAGATGAGGAAAGAGATACAGGAGATGCTCAAGTTAGGAGTCATAGAACCCTCAGACAGCCCGTGGGCCTCACCCGTAGTACTGGTACCCAAAAAGGATGGGACCACAAGGTTCTGCATCGACTATAGACGTCTCAATGATAGGACAGTGACAGATGCGTACCCCATGCCACGCGTAGACGAGCTCCTAGATCGCATTGCTAGGGGAAGATATCTGACCACCATTGATTTGTGCAAGGGATACTGGCAGATTCCCCTAGCCAAGGAGGCTGTCCCCAAGTCGGCCTTCGTCACCCCGTTTGGCTTGTACCAATTCAAAGTCATGCCATTCGGGATGAAGAACGCTCCCGCTACCTTTCAGCGCTTGGTCGACAGGCTCCTTGATGGATTCCAGGATTTCGCATGTGCGTACCTGGATGACATTGCGATCTATAGCGAGACCTGGGGAGAACACCTCCGACAGATAGGGGCCGTACTGGATCAGATTAGGGCATGGCCGAAGTACAGTACCTGGGACACCGGGTGGGATGTGGGAAGCAACGGCCGGAGCCAGCCAAAGTTGAGGCCGTGGCTAATTGGCCCACACCCCACACCAAGACCCAGGTACTGGCTTTTCTAGGGACGGCAGGGTACTACAGGAAATTTGTCCCCGACTATAGTAGTATCGCCAAACCGTTAACAGACTTGACCAACAAGAATCTACCTAGGATAGTCCTGTGGTCTCCCGCCTGCGAAGCAGCATTTCAGACATTAAAGACCGCATTAATCAACGCTCCTGTGCTATCTGCCCCAGTCCCTAACAAAAGGTTTGTCGTCCACACAGATGCCTCCATGTACGGACTGGGGGCAGTTTTAAGCCAGATCGGAGAGGATGGAGGAGAACACCCTGTCGCGTACCTAAGCAGAAAACTACTACCCAGGGAAGTGAGCTACGCGGCAGTGGAAAAAGAATGTTTAGCCCTGGTTTGGGCCCTAAAGAAATTGACTCCATATTTGTATGGTCGGGAGTTCACCCTCATCACTGACCATAACCCTCTCGTATGGTTGAACCGTGTGGCCGGAGATAATGGTCGTTTGTTAAGATGGAGCCTGGCGTTACAACCGTATAATTTTTCCATACAATATCGGCCAGGTAAACTCAACGGCAACGCGGATGGCCTGTCCAGACAAACCGAACTGATGCCATAACCGAAATCCGGACAGCCCCACGGTGATCCGAAAAGGATCAATCCGGGTCTGCCGGGGTGTCCCACAAAAGGGGAGCCATGTAACAACAAGCCCAGTATGCCTACAAAAGGACAAATGGATTATACAGCCTGTGACGAAGTGTCCTTCGCCACTTGGTCCTGGAGAGGCCTTCTTGCCAGTCTCCTCCCCTGTGACTATGACTCTTTCATCTATCTGGCTTTAAAGCCCCTAGTCTACCTTCAACAGACTATTTATGTGGGCTGCTTTATTTATCCTATGTTTTAGTCACCCTGTACCCATTATAGGTGCAGGGTGTGTGTAATGTAATTGTTTATAGTGTGTGTGTGTGTGTGTACTGTGTAATGTATTGCCTGCTCTCTTGTATTGCTGAGGTTTGCTACCAACTAGGTGGGTTTGGCTATGGAGCTGGTCTAGTGCCCTCTGTTGGTAGCAACAGCAATATGCACTACCTGAATTGCAAGACTGGTTCATTTGCATATTCGGGTAGATTTGCATATTGCTAATTCTGCAGGCAGGTGAGATATTTACTGTTAAATATTGTCTCCCCCCACCCCTTTAAAAATGTGCCATTGTGTTGTGATAAGTCACTGTGTGTTTCTTGATATGGTTTGACTGTTTGTGATTTTATTGAGGTTTCACAACAATGTTATTGTGGTGACTGTATTGGCTGGTCCCAAGGGAATAAAGGTTTTGACAGTTCTTCTTGACCCTTCAAAACGTAGCCTTGTCTCGTTCTTGAAAGGGGAATCTCTGCAGCTTAATCACTTGGCTCTTTTCAGAGCTGCACCTGGTTTCCACTCCTGATCCAGCAGAAGGGAATAGGCGACTCCATCACTACACAGCGACTGCCAGGAAGAAAAGGACGTCCCTAACGGCTGGTACCCTCTCTACACCAGGGTAGCCGTTACACCATAGAATTCAAAGAGGGTGCACTTTCTTTTTCCCATGACTATATATGTGTTCATACTTACCATAATTTTCTGATGCTGGCTATTATCCATGGTAGCATATACTAATAGAACAGGAAAGTAAAAGATATATTTTAATCCCTTAGTGACCAGACAGTTTTTCAATCTTCTTACCGTTAAGGACCAGAGCTGTTTTTACGTTTCTCCGGTGTTTGTGTTTAGCTGTAATTTTCCTCTTACTCATTTACTGTACCCAAACATATTATGAAATGGTTTTTCTCTCCATTAAATGATCTTTCTAAAGATACCATTATTTTTATTATCTCATCTAATTTACTATAAAAAAAAGTATAAAATATGATGGGGAAAAAAACACACCTTTTCTAATTTTGACCCCCAAAATCTGTTAAGCATCTACAACCGTCAAAAAACACCAATGCTAAATAGTTTCTAAATTTTGTCCTGAGTTTAGAAATACCCATGTTCTTAGCTTTTTTTTTTGCAAGTTATAGGGCTATAAGTACAAGTAGGGCATTGCTGTTTCAAAATATATATATTTTTAAAATGTATCAATAGTGACATTGTAACACTGTTAGCTGTCATAAATCTCTGAATCACACCTCACATGTTAATATTTTGTTAAAGTATAAAGCCCAGGGTATTCAATATAGGGTATGTCCAGTCTTTTTTTTAGTAGCCACTTAGTCACAAACACTGGCCACAGTTAGCATTTATATTTGGTTGTGATAAAAATGCCAAAAACAATTATGAAAGCTAACTTTGGCCAGTGTTTGTGCCTAAGTGTCTACTAAAGAAGACTGAACATACCCCATTTGCAATACCTTGGGTTTTTCTTCTTTTGCAAATGGTATGCCATCATGTGGGTAATTCTCATTCCTGGGCTACCATACACTCTCAAAGGCAACATAACCAATCTGTCAAATTTCAATGTGAAAAAACTGAAAATCAAGCCTTATATTTGACCCTGTAACTTTCAAAAACACTATAAAACCTGTACACGTGGGGTACAGTTATACTCGGGAGACTTTGCTCAAATATTAGTGTTTCAAAACAGTAAAACGTATCACAACAATATCATCCATGTAAGTGCCGTTGGTGTGTGAAAAATGCAAAAAAAATCACTTTCACTGCCAATATCATCGCTGTGATAGGTTTTACTGTTTTGAAACACTAATATTTGTGTTCAGCGAAGTCTCCCGAGTAAAACAGTACCCCCCATGTACAGGATTTAGGGTGTCATGGAAAAGGTTTTAAAAGTAAAACTTCTGCACAGGGGGTCTCTGGCAAGGAAAGATGGTGACTCACTCAAAATATGATTTTGCCCCCAAGCAAGTACAATAGACATTTACACATCATTATATAAGGGATATATACCCTTTGGAGTCATCTCAAGTTTCCAAGCCTGGCCCAGAGGTGGAGATAAGGCGTACCTAAAGAAACAATAAGTGACCACCCTTTTGGTTTTAGCTTATCGTCTGTCCTTGCCACAGAAATAATAATTGCATCTATAACATTGTTAGCATTTTTCCATTCCATAAATAAGTCACACTTCTTACTTGTGACCTAATATACATCACAATCCCTTCCAAACGGCTTACGTTGCGTAAAGGTTTGATTAAAAGATTGAGGCTTAATTATTAATTTGTGGGTAAGTTATGTTTCTTTTGGATATGATTCTGGAACACAATGATTTTCTTGAAGGCTAAGGGTCATTAACATATCAAATGACCCCCTATGTAAGAGGGAATCTAGACCTATGCAAATTAGAGCGTTAGTTTATATCAAAGGAGACTCGGAGGCAACTCACATGTGCATTTCACACCTTGCCGAAGCCCGGGTAGATCAAAAAGGGCAATTCATGTTGTAACCTATCTGACCTTTATTACATTCCTATACAATTTACATTTACCTCTTTAGACATTGGTCCTCTATAATCAGATTGGCCCTTCCACCTCTACCAAGTGGCCAATTCATGTATGCACTGCATAGGTTACATTAAAAAGCAATATTCTTTAGTGCAACAATGATTTATGTACCCTTGCCGTGACACCATATTCTAATGAGAATACCCAAGCTTAAGAAGGATATCTCAACAATAACATATGCTAAACAAACACTTTAAGCCAAACAAAAAAATAATTTAAAAAAATCAAGATATGGAGGACTGAAGCACTGATTGCAGGACATGATGCCGAATTGTGCTTCATTAGTAGGTCATATGTCTCTCGTACGAAATTGTTAAATGAGGAGCTGTCAGCCTTACATGTTTTCTGCTGATGCATTAACCACAGTAGCCCAGGACGCTGCTTGGCTAAAACATGCTCTCAATCGGTCTGTTACAGGAAGATATTGCGACTGGTATGTTTTGAAAATAGCCAACACAATTCAACGTCTTCCTGTTGGTACTGATGTAGCCTCTTCTATGTCTGAAGGAGAAAACAAAAAGCCTGGAAGAATGCAAAAAGGCTTTGTTCTTTTACTGTATAGTGACTATTACATCCAAATAGCCATTTGTTCTTCTGCAAAAGAGAAAAAAAAGGCAGGTAGTATCCATTTTTGAATAAAGGGAAACTATAGGCACCAAGACCACTTCAGCTCATTGAAGTGGTCTGGGTGCAGTGTCCCTATTGCACTTAGTGCTGCAATGTTAAACATTGCAGTTCAAGAGAAAATGCAGTGTTTACATTGCAGCTCTACATCTGCCTTCAGTGGCTGTCTCCCAGATAGCCACTGGAGGTGCTTGCTAGATCCAAATGGACCTTTGGTCTGGTGACTGACACTGGACGTTCAGTGTCAAAATTGTTCCTCATATAAAGCATTGATTAAATCCTTTCCTATGGGAAGGTCTAATGCGCATGCATGAAGAAACCACTCTGGTACTCCAATCGTTAACAGGAGTAGTCCCAGAAGATTGGAAATTAGCATATGTTGTGTCCAATCACAAGAAAGGTAGTAAGGAGGAGGCAGGCAACTATAGGCCAGTAAGCCTTACTTCAGCATTGGGAAAAGTGATGGAAACCATGTTAAAGGATAGGATTGCTGAACATCTAAAATCAGAGATTTCCAGATCAGAGACAACATGGGTTTACTTTAGGGAGATCATGCCAAACTAATCTTATTGATTTTTTTGATTGGGTAACTAAAATAATAGATCAGGGTGGTGCAGTAGACATTGCTTACCTTGATTTTAGAAAAGGCTTTTGACACTGTTGCACATAGAAGGCTCATTAATACACTACAATCACTACTGTAAGTTTGGATTTTAATATTGAATGGGCTAGGCAGTGGCTGAGTGACAGGCAACAGAGGGTTGTAGTCAACGGAGTATAATCGAAGCAAGGTCTAGTTACCAGTGGGGTACCTCAGGGATCTGTACTTGGACCCATTCTCTTTAATATTTTTATTAGTGATATTGCAGAAGGTCCTGATGGTAAAATATGTATTTTTACTGATGATATAAAGATTTGCAACAGGGTTGATGTTCCAGAATGGATAAGCCAAATGGCAAATGGCTTAGGTAAACTAGAAAAATGGTCAGAGCTGTGTCAACTGACATTTAATGTGGATAAGTGCAAGATAATGCATCGTATAGATTAGATGTACGATGTATAGATTATTTGATACAGTACTAAGCTCAAAATCCAAGGAAAGGGATTTAGGAGTAATTATTTCAGATGATTTAAAGGTAGGTAGATGTGACGGACCGCCTGGCACCCCGACCAGGTGCCTCAGCCAATCGCTGCCTTCTAGTACCGCCGAGTACTTCCAAGCACTCCAGACACCATCAGCACCGTAGTCACCACTTCCAGCGTTACAGCTTGGCTGGGTCTCGCCGTCCTCCACCCACCCTGTACCCAAGACCACAATCCAGCTTCCAGATGGCAGACCTGTCCTACTCCAGAGAGTGTAGCAGGCTGATCTTACAAGAGCAAGTGATTATAACCCAGAGAAGTATAGTGATATAGCGAAAATGAAGTCAGCATCCCCATAAAGCTTGTCTGCGGAGGGAAGCATGAAGTGCTCCAGAATCTCTTGGTAGACGGCTGCGTTGACCCTGGACTTAATGAAGCACATTGGACCAACACCAGCAGATGACATGGCTCCCCAAATCATCACAGACTGTGGAAACTTCACACTGGACTTCAAGCATCTTGCAGTGTGTGCCTCTCCATTCTTCCTCCAGACTCTGGGTCCTTGGTTTCCAAATGAGATGCAAAAGTTGCTCTCATCAGAAAACAGGACTTTGGACCACTGAGCAACAGACCAGGTCTGTTTTTGCTAATCCCAGGTAAGACGCTTCTGACGTTGTTTGTTGTTCAGGAGCGGATTGACAAGAGGAATACGACATCTGAAGCCCATGTCCAGGATCCGTCTGTGTGTGGTGGCTCTTGATGCACTGACTCCAGCCTCAGTCCATCCTTGTGAAAGTCCACAAGCCTTTTCCTGACAATGCTCTCCAGGCTGCAGTCATCCCTGCTGCTTGTGCACCTTTTTCTTCCACACTCTTCCCTTCCACATAACTTTCTATCAATGTGCTTTGATACAGCACTTTGGGAACATCCAACTTCCTTCACAATTACCTTTTGAGGCTTCCCCTCCTTATGGAGGGTGTCAATGATGGTTTTCTGCACAACTGTCAGGTCAGCAGTCTTCCCCATGATTGTGATTCCTACTGAACCAGACTGAGAGACCATTTAAAGGCTCAGAAACCCTTTGCAGGTGTTATGGCTTACTTAGCGGATTAAAGTGGGACACTGTGAGCCTAGAATATTGCACCTTTTCACAATATTCTAATTTAATGAGATTGTGGATTTGGGGTTTTCACGAGATGTAAGCCATAATCATCGCACTTATGACAAATCTCGGCTTGAACTGTCTTGCTTTGCATGTAATGTGTCTATCTCATATATTAGTTTCCCCTTTTACGTTGCATTACTGAAATAAATGAACTTTTGCACGATATTTTAATTTTTCGAGTATCACCTGTATAATTAAATTATCTACAAGAAACATGCAATACAACAACACCCCAAAAGTACCCTTGAAACACATGAAAACCCCACAAGTCATATCCACTGATCTGGGGGACCAACATAATCAAAAATTACCCAGATCGGTTCAGGGGTTCGGGATTTCCATAGAAGTCATAATTTTGACAAACTGTGCACATGGTCAATGCCCAAAACAGTTCCAGGGAATTAGGGCCAATGGTCGGTCTCTATTTATGGAGTACAAAAGTACATACGTTTTTAAAGGGCCCATAGTCTTTTGGCAGGAGGCTGTCAAGCAGGCCCCTGCAAGAACACGTGGCAGAGACCTTTCTGCCACAGCAGACAATGTAATAGAGCAGCAGGAAATACTAACAGAATGCTTGGTTGTATAGGGAGGTATTAGAAGTCGAAAGTGCTCATACCATTGTACCGTGAGACCTAACTTGGAGTATTGTACACACTACTGGAGAACGTATCTTCAGGAGGTTCAGAGAAGGGCTACTAAACTGGTTCATGGATTGCACGATAAAACTTACCAAGAAGTTTTGATATTAACATGTATAGATTGGATGAAAGATGAGACAGGGGGATATGATAGGAACATTTAAATACATAAAGGGAATCAACACAGTAAAGGAGGAGACTATATTTAAAAGAAGAAAAACTACCACAACAAGAGGACATAGTCTTAAATTAGAGGGACAAAGGTTTAAAAATAATTTCAGGAAGGTTTACTTTACAGAGAGGGTAGTGGACGCATGGAATAGCCTTCCAGCTGAATTGGTAGAGGTGTTAACACAGTGAGGAAGTTTAAAGGGACACTATAGTCACCTAGACCACTTCAGCACCAAGGGAGGGGGACCCTGAGGGTGAGGGTCCCACAAGAATTATAGTGTCAGGAAAACGGGTTTGTTTTCCTGACACTATAGTGATTGTTTAAGCATGTGTGGGGTAGACATAAGGCTATCCTAGACATAAGATAAGTCCAGGGACTAATGAAAATATGTAGAAAATTTGGGCAGACTAGATGGGCTGAATGGTTCTTATCTGTCATCACATTCTATTTTTCTATGATTAGTTTACCTATTCTATTAATATACCGTTTACCTGACTCTGGCTAGTTGTCGTTCATGCTGTCTCTCTGTGATCCTGACCTAGGCTTGTATTTGACTGTTACCTCTCGATTGTGTTTTAAGCCCAGCCACTCTAAGGACTGGTTATACATCTATTCTATAAAGCCTATTATTGTTATCCTAGTCTCTGTGTGTTAGGATAATTCCTCATGACAATGGCACAGAGTTAAGGGGTTAAAGCTCAGTCAAAGTGTGTAAAAAGAAAACAGATGCCAAAGTCTACAATATACACTAAATATGTTGACTATTTTAGAAATTACTGCATTATGTAATTACATACACGTGTACACATATAACGCCTATAGTGTTGGGAGGGGTTATCTGGTCTATTTAACCAGGACCCCCTCCTCTTAACTGCTGCCGCTTTACCGAAGTTGCAATGGACCATCAACTTACAGTTCTGGATAGGAAATCTGCGCCTACTGTAAAGCGGTTACTTGATGCACTTGCAAAGTTCGGAAAACTAGGCCCATTCATTCAGTGCATCTGCACATATGGAAGAACGGGCCTCCGAGGTAGGCTCACGAGCATACGACCTGTGACCACATTTAACCAGCTACAGACACATTTGAGAAACAGCTGCACCGTTTCGGGTTAAGGGTAGAATTCCTAGATATTTAAATGATTTATTTTATGAATTCATTTAGGTATTACGTACTCATCTCAAATTCATCTAAACTCCCTTCTTATGCTTTCCTCCACGATATGAGCTTATTAAATATCCCTTTCATGTATCTTGACTTAAGTTCATTCCTTCCCTACATATTAATTTAAGAAGGTGAGCTGGCTTAAGTAGGTGCTCAGTAGTAAAAACATTTCTTAGACGTCTTTTCCTTAGTTTAGCGGCCCACAAGGCCAACTCCCATCTCTTTTGCTCATCGGCCCAATCCATTGCTAGCACCTCGAAATTAGTATAGTCAGGGCCTCACCAGTCACACCCAATCTGTCTTGAAATCTGGTAATCGTCACAGAGAAACCAACACCCTGCCACAATTTTATGGCCTTAACAACTCTCATTTCCATAGTCTCCCATGCAGCTTGGCAGTTAGTAGGGCGTCACTTATCACCAACTAGTTATATAATTTTGCCACCTGTCAGGAGTGTCAGTCTGGGGCCAATCAGAAAATATTCTGGGCTGCTTCGTTGTGATTTGCTCTAGCCATAGCATGGTACACACAAATCCGTGCATGCTGGCCTGCTTGCAACAGAAGTTGACTGGTATCGGATTAGCCTGCCACAGAGATCCAGTGCTCTGGGTAGCCTTGCTGACACTACTGCTGGATGTCTCATGCTTGGCAATAGCTGGATGGATATAGCCATGTCTCCTGGTGATTTGGGTAACAGATCTAAAAAGAAAAGGCATACTTTTGACATCTGTGGTAACCATGTAACAAACTTTGTGTTACCCTATACATCGCTGCTCACAAGGAAGTTAATAAAGAATTTTATACTTTTTCTCTCTGAAAAATGCCTTGGAGAGTTATAGAGATCCTGGACTGTCATGGGGCAATAATGGATCAATCGGACATGGAAACATTGCAGAGCGGAGGGTTTTTTTTTTCCCCTCCCACTGCACTTCCACCACTTTATTAGGTTGAAGGAATTGGTAACTTGCTTCCACAGTGACAATTCCATTTTAATACAATACTGTAAAAGTATTTTTATAATTTTGTTAATATCAAACACTTTTAATAGGCGCCAATACAATTAATATGGATTGGTATTCATTATATTTATTGGCTGAGGCACATGTTTGTTTTGATTACATTGCCAATAACTTTAACATTAGTTTGAAATATTTTGTTATTTTCTTTTTTTTTAATATATGTTTGAGTTTACTCTTTTTGTCAGACCAGCGATATTTTAATGAATAGAGAGCTCTAACCTGCTGAACTAAACACTCACACAAAAAATATCCTTTTACACAAGAACAGTCCTCGCATGTCATGGTTAAATAGACAATCCATTGTGACTTTGGAGAGAAGGTGGCTGCCATTTTTGTTAGGTGGTGCTAACAAAATTGGGAAGATAACCTCCCCGTCTTACTGACACCTGAGGAAATGTTTCTCCAATTAGTTATACACGTTCTGATTAAATAGAGAACAGCACTTTGAAAAGAATATGCACATTTTAATTTTTTTTATTTAAACATTTAACATAAAACAAATATGTCAACATCAATAATATAAATGCAGCATATTTTAATAAAAGAATAAACAAAGAAATTTTAAATAAAGAAAAAGGGGGAACCTAGGGAGACAGAAATATATATTACGACCTCTTTAAATAAACAAACAAAAAAACATATCAATAAAGTCATGACTTATTATTATTTCCATTTCTCTGATAGTATTTACATAATTATTCAGTGCATAAGATTTGACGAATAGTATAAGTAATCATATTTATTGCTTGGCAGGATATATTTTATTTTGAAAATGAGCACATCCAGACATAAGCAAGCTCAAGATCTTTATGTATGTGATGCGTCCCTTTACTATAATTTAATTCATAAGGATATGTATTTAATATAATTTAAATACTATATAGAGTAGCATTTGTAAAACAGTCAGCCACCTGTTAGCCCTAAGGTTGCATAGGTTACACCATGACTTACAGCACTTCAGGCACTCGAACACTGAGCCCATGTCGCACTCTCCAGTCGCCCAGTGCCTCACACTTGCCATGTGACGACTCACGAGCTAATAAACACAAACACCACGGACCATTGGCTGCCAGTAGGCCACGCCCTCCGGCTGCTGATTGGTGGAACCTGTCAGGGTGACACTCGGGGAGAAAATGGCGGCTTTACGCTACCGGCGTTTTCTGAAGCTTTGTGAAGAATGGCCGGTGGATGAGAGCAGGGGGGGCAGAGACCTGGGGGCCTTCTTACGGCAACGGGTGGCCCAGGCTTTCCGGGAAGGCGAAAACACGCAGGTCAGCCTTTTTGGCACGATCGAGCGCGGGAATGTGTCATTCACAGTGTTTGGTTGCAGGGCACGCGTGATTGGTCAGATGTGAGGGGGCGGGGCTAAGTTGACAAGTTATATAGTACTCGAGATTTTGTTAAAGGGTTTTTTTTTGTAAGCTTTCAAAATGACTCACTGTTTGCAATGCCCCACACATGAATGAGAGCTTAGAAAGGTGATGTAGCCAAGGGCATAATGTAACTAACTTTGGAGATGACGTTATTGTTATGGTGCCAGGAGGGTCCCCCTCTTACCTCAAGAGGTTAAACTGTTCTCGATTAAACCCCAAAGTTGCCTCGCGTTCTCCCTTCCCCCCCTTCAGAAAGCATTGAGTGCAGCCCAGGAGGAGCGCTGACATCCCATTTACAAAACTGGCTTGGAAAAGGTACGTTTCTTTCCAAACCAGTTTTGTGAATAGGGAGTCACTGATTGGCTGAGAGCTTCAGCGGCGTCCATGCCCAGCAGCACTTTGTGCTTCTTGAAAGAGCCAGATACGGAGGTGAAATCGCCACTGGTGGCAAGATTGGAGTTAAACCCTTGACGTAAGTGTGTGAACACCTCTTAGTGATATGGATCAAATCAAGTGTTTGATAATTTTGTGTATCTGCCCCTTTTCAAATTGGTTGTGGTGCATGCATGCTTTCCAGAAGTAATTTCACACCAGACACGTTTCCCGGTTGATGAAATACTCAGGAATGCTTTATTCTCTGGGCCGGCATGCCCTTATAAAGCAGAAATACATCATATGCATAATTATAATTAACAGAGAAAAATACATTAATAATTGGTTAGGTGTTACGTGATGCATTCAATGTACATCCCACTCGGTGTGATATTGCTTTTATCATGAATGTCTCCCCCAGGTTCCAACACCATCTTGTAACACGAGGTAGTCAGTCGATGGAGGGGCTGACTCCCGGCGGCCATTTTGAGTAGTCACTGAATAATACTGATCATGATTACATAGAGTAAATAGGCATTTTACTAAACTATTATTTTGTGCACAACATTAGCACCATAACAACTTATTATTATTTATACAACGCCATCAGATTCCGTGGCGCTGTACAATGGGTGGACTAGCATACATGTAATTGTAACCAGACGTACAGGAACAGAGGGGAAGAGGGCCCTGCTCCATGAGCTTACATTCTAGAGGGAGTGGGGTATAGTGACACAGAGGGTAAAAGTAGGGGTACAAAGTAGGTTGTTAGAAAAGTATTAATTGAGGGCTTCGTAGATCATTTTTGACAGTTGCAGGGCTAGGTTGTTTTGGTGCCTGGAAAGTCCCTTCAACCTCAGACCTCTTGGTATTCGTTTAACTTCCAAATATTTCTGCAATGTCGCTCCTTCCGATCAAATTTTTAGTTTCTATAATTAATTTTTCCAAGGTAAGAAAATCATTATTCATTTCAGATGTAATTTGATGTATGGTCTGCTGTATCCTCTGAAAATAGGCATTCAGCTCTGGCTTTTTTTAGTTAAATTGTCCACAAATCTAAAGTGTGGTGAACCGGACCTCGTCACTGGTTCTTGGAGGGGCATACTTGCCAACCTCTTGCCCTGTGACTATGGCCCCTGTGTTAAATCATGGTTAAAACCACTATTTGTGCCTTTTTGTACTTGTATGGCCACAATGCGAACTTTCAAAGCGGCACTCCCGAAGTCATTTGAAGTGCCATTCGACCACAAGGTGGCGGCCATCTTGTTTGCATGGACTAAAACCGCAAATAGACTTCAGGGGGACTTAGCCGCGAATGCCCTGGAACTATTTCCAGCATGAAAACCTCGTGGTTTCCGGTCGGTCCTCCAGCGGCACATAGCCGCAATTCTATGGAACTATTTTCGGCTATGGGACCATGCCTGTGGTCAGTAAAAAATGACTTCCATAAAATTTCTGAGCCCCTTAACTGATACAGGTGGTTTTTGGATATGTTGGTCACCCAGATCAGGGCTATCCGGGGATATGTGTTTTGGGGTACTTTTTAGAAATGTTTCTTCTGCCTGCAGATATTTGAGTTGATACAGTAATTAACTCTATTATCTCCCAAGCAGAGGGGAGGGATTGTATGCCATGCATGGGAGTGCCTTAGAATGTAACTCTATTGTTATTGGTTTACAAGTTTGTGTCCCTGTCCCCAACAAGGTCCATTACCTCTTGCATGGGGATTGTCATAAAAGGCCAGTGTGGCACCCCTAAAATTTAATTCCTGCTTAATGTTCAACACGTAGCCTGGTCTCGTAATTGTAGGGAACCTGCTTCACAGCTATATCACTAGCTTTTGTAAGAGATTCACAACGTTATTGGATCCTTTGTCGGCTGGAATATCTACGGGAGAATCCTGCAGCTCTGCTCCTTCTAAGGGAAGAGGACATCCCTGGCGGAATTGACCCCTTTATAATCAGGGTGTCTGTCACATCAAGCATCTGCCACTCTCACGTTTCAATGATGTGAGCACACTCCAACTCTGTATAACCAGCTTTAAATGCTTGTGACCGTTAAATATACATTTACCTATATATTGGGAGGTGGTGGAGTATCTTGTTTGTTTTTTAATTTTATTACGTAAAAATGGACACAGACGAGTTAGTGAGGGCGACTCTTGAACGTTACAGTGAGCAGGCTCCTCTCACATACTGTTTTGTACCAAAGATGCATTACCCTCCCCCCCACACTTTTTTCCTTTCACTACCCACTCCCTCTCTTTGTTTGAACACCTTTGGGTGTATTTGATAACCATAGGCAATGATGACCGCTATCTATCTCAATAAAATTATTGACATCCACTTGTTTAAAATAAGTATGAGTTTAAAAAAAAAAAAAAATTTTTCATTAAGAATATAGATGTCAAGGTCTGGAAAATTGATATTTGTTTTGCTAACATTTTGGTTAAATGTATACCCCATTCATTATGGTTCAATTGATTTATAAAAAAAATTTGCTAGATCCTTTCCATGTTATAAAAATATCGTCTATATACCTTCTATAGAAGACAAAGTTTGCACCAAAATCATGGCCCTGATAAATAAAAAATTTTTCCAAATAGGCCATGAAAAGATTTGGCTAACTTGTAGCAAGCTTGGTCCCCATTGCGTTACCTCTAACTTATACATAAAAATCACCTTCAAACTAAAAATAATTATTGGTTAAAATCATTCTAATACCATCTAAAATAAACAAAATTTGTGTCTAAGAATTTATTAGATTGTTTTAAATAAAGTTCAACTGCTTCACATCCTTCCTGATGTTCTATGATTGTATAGAGGCTTGTGACATCACATGTGATTAAAAGAAAGTCATCGTCCCATTTTAAAATCTTTCAAAGTATTTAAAGACTCATAGAATCTTGCAAATAAGACGGCCACTAAAGATTTTAAATGTGTATCTATATACTGTGATAGGGGGGATAAAACAGGATCAATACCCGATACAATGGGACGTCCTGGAGGATTAATCGGGTCCTTATGTATTTTGGGTAGGATATAAATAACTGGGATTCTGGGGTGTTCTGAAGATAAAAAACGAAAATCCTCAAAAAAACTTAATCTCCTACACAAACAAAAGTTTTAACCAAAGGTTTTAAATTTTGTCCCAAGTTGCCCCATAAAAAATATGAAGCTTATATTGATATTAATAGTTTTATGAGGAAGCTTTGTTTGCAAATTTTTTTAGCAGAGGGGATCTTTTAGAATCTTAAATAGCATCCGCAAATACATTCTCAGAGAATCAAACATCAACTACAAGATATAAATACCTATAAAAGAATGAATAAAACATATGTACACAATTTTTAGAACGAGGGTTAGCCAATGAGATACTAAATAAGGGAGAACTTTCGTTTTTATCTTTAGATTGATGGGAGTGTACATACTAATTAACACGTGTAGTTTAAACCTGTCTGTCTCATAATCAGCACTCCCAGGTTTTGTAAAAAAGAAATAGTTCTTTACTCCAAAGGTTGACGTTTCAGCTCCGCTTGGAAGCTTTCATCAGGACAGCAAACATAAAACAAATGAAACAAACTTAGTTTAAATAAAAACATCAAAAAAGAACTTACCATTCAGGTGTGTAAGGGGCTGGCCTCTCCTCTCGAGCGTCAGGACAGGCACCACCGGGATTCAGCGTCTCACTAATTGCGCTGACGTCATCAACACGTGACGTCGTTGCCATGGAGATCGTGACGCTGATCGCGTCTATCACTTATCTTTCAGTGTACTTCCTGGACGCCAGCATTCTCGGTAGTCAAGGAGATGCTGGCGCATGCGCAGAGTGCTTGTTCCCCCGGTCTGAGTGTCTGACCCGCGATCAGGAAGCAGGATTACCAGCATTCAAGTATACATATATATCAGAAAACATTTTCTGGGGAATGTCAGCATACTCTCCTCCCTTCTACAACGTACATGTTCATAATTAACACTTAAATTGAAAATACAATATAATACTAAAAGTAATAACTATCACGGGTCCAATCAGGACCCTAAAGTGCACCATACAACATAATCCATATCTTAATACTAGCTTAACACCTTATTGTCAAGCTGAAAGTGACCAATATTCAGGCTCCCTGGAGTTTATCCTGGTTCCTAACATAATGTGATGAATATTGTGTAATAGACTACTATAATATAAGTGAGTAAATGAGTATTACAAGTGTTATAGCTATACCAGCCATACCAAAACCCATAATACCCTATTATTATAAGACTAAGATATCCATATGGATACAGTTATACTAGTGTATCAAAAAGATGAGAAACCTCCTATATGTGAAATTGATCTGTCTGATCGATAAGTGGTGCAAAAATATTTAAAGTGCCAATGCATACTAATTTAAGTGCAAAACGGTGCAAAGGATCACACAATTCATTAGTGATACGTGCCCAGTGTTTCAAAAATCTTCAACATAATAACCAAAAAGTGTATATGGTCCAATGCACTCCCCCCTATTTTTAAACTTCGAAATAGGAAAAAGGGCAAGAGAATAAGAGGAGAAATGGACACCGTAGTTGTCCCATTATTTCCTTCCATTTAATCGGGAGGGATTATCACAAATGTATTTTCACAATAACCTGAATCTACAGTCCTATTAAGAAAGAAAAATAAAGCATGAATTATTCTAAGCCTTAGAGGTTACAAGCAAAAAAAATAAAAATAAAAACATTAAAATAGGCCTGGCACTTTGGATCAAAACAATTATATACAACTAACTATGAATCTTCACATAGCCAATTCGAGCACTTTTTTTTTTATTTGTGTGTGTGTGTGTGTGTACTTGTGCCTGTTATGAGTATACTGCACCTGAGGAAAACCTTATATAGGTTGTACTTGTATTTATCTTTTGGATTTGATAAATTCTATTTAAATAAAGACTTGTATACCTTTATGGTTGATTCCTGACTTCTGTGGCTGTTGAACAAGATTGTGGCAATTCAGAGGAGCTGTTACATTTTTGTCTATCCAGATATCCCTTTGTGTGGATGAAATGCTTTTACAGTTCAGATCCAACTTCTAAAGGGCTCTGTAAAGTGTGAGTTCTCCAATTAACCTCACCTTCTTTGCGCTACCTTTTATACAGATTACACTATGTTGTTTTATCTGTTTATTTTATACAGGATTTACCTTGTTTAAATTTTTTTTTTTTTTAGTCAGAGTATTGGTTTAAGCCAACCAATCAGAGTGCTCTGACAGGTAAATGAAGAGACTGACGGGTAAGTCTCTAAATTTACCTGTCACATCACGCTGGTGGGCTCTGTCTTTATACATAGCGTGGGAAAGTTCTTTGGAATTTTCCCTTGCTGTGTTTTTTGACTCATTATCTGGTTGTTTGATAGCAACCAATCAGTGTTATGAGTTAAATTACACAGCATGGGAAAATTAAAATGACACAAAGCACTCTGGTTGGATTTCAAGCCAACCAATCAGAGTGCTGTCAGGTAAATTTAGAGACTTAACTGTCCGTCTCTTCATTTACCTGTCAGAGCACTCCGATTGGTTGGCTTGAAATCCAACCAGAGTGCTCTGTCCTTTTAATTTACTAGACATTAGGTTTTTCAGCTTTTGGTAAATAGCTCCCTGATACTGTGGGAATTAAGGAGTTATCTACTAAGCGGCTGCAAGATGCACAAATAAGATCATTTCATATCTTATTTCATATGAATGAAATTCTGATACAAAGTCCCATAATGCTTCCTAACCTAAATGAACAAACTGTTCTCATTCTGTTAGGACGAAATTCGGTAGTCTAAGTGACAGGACGTTTGGGAATACTGACAGGAAGCATCGCAAGATCACAGATCAAAGGGGAGAATTGTGGGGAAATTGCTTTGATCACCGGAAACAAAGCACACTTTGCTCCTCCGCTGGTCAGGCGTATGAAACCTCCATAAGACAAAGTAGTCCCTACTTTGCTCTAGTTTTCTTTAAAACATAAGACAGACAGGAAGAAATGAACAGATCCTGACAGAGGGAGAGAAGAGGAATCGATTGGGGAAAGGGGAAGTTCAGCATGACCGTGCCACTCTCATTTTAATTTTTAGCCTAACTAATTTTCTCTTCCTCTCTACTCTGAGTTTTGTTACTTTTTTTTTTAATTTTGTTTCTGCAGGTCCAAGATCCAGAGAGTTGTGATCACATGTTTGACAGCCTAAGTAGGATAAACAGCAACTTCTACAGAGAGAAGGTACTTGAAAGGAGGGCACTATCTCGCTAATTTTGTTTGACACATTATATTCCACATTTTATTTTTTATAAATTATTTATTTAGTACCTTTTTTTGGTTTTACAGAAAAAGAAGCCACACATCATACGACAATGCACAAGTTTTGTAATATGTTGCAATACTACTGGTAGTTTGTTGTGGGTCATTTTCTGAGTGTGGCAAACCTCGCCACTTCAGGAAACTAAGGACTTGGTGAATACGTATTTTGCTATTGTCTTTTCTTTTGTCTGAAGTGAAAAGCATTCGAATGCTAGCGGCACGAAAACCATGAGCATTCCTATAGTAGTTTCACGAACAATAATGGAATCCACTGTTTGGGAAACTAACAAAACTACTGAATGGGAGACCACACAAGGGAGGCGTGTGTCTCCCATTAACGAAATAGCCACATTGTAACTGCAGATAATTAATGGTTTTGCGGGTGGCCGCCGTTCATGTAACCAAACACGTGGCGGCGACCGTCTTTGCTCATGAAAGCCCAGCGGTGATTGGTTGTTGAGTGCCTGAAACTAAAATCTGCTACTCGACTGCACGAACACCGCTGGACTTCCATGTCTTTTTTGTTTAAATTGTTCATTCGGTTAAATTGTTCAGTCGTGCAAATAAGACAACGTTCGACAAACTCTAAAACTCACGAATGCTTCTGTTTCACCAACCCATTTTCCACTGTATATTGTAATGTGTGTTCGTATGAATGAACCCTTCATTTCAATGGCTTTGCTATTCTAGTGAATGGATCTGCGTGGTATTTTGCCAGATGCTGCGCTCAGATCCCAGCCATTCAATGAGGGGTCATTCGGCTAATTCTGAGTAAAATTACATGACTTATAGAATTTAATGTTAAATGGTGTATTTTGCTGTACAGAGAGATAATGCAATTAACACTGTATCAGTGCGTCATCATCTCTCCAGTACAGTACTGTATGATGGGATATAGTCTGAAAAGTTAAGTTTCCCACAAAGTCCACTCGAGTAAAACCCCTGCAATGTCAGTAAGGAAACCGCTTGCATGGGGACTTGTATAAATATAGTGACCTTGGAATAAGAGCTCAGTTGATTCCCAAACTATGTGTCGTCTAGATCTTGGGAATAAGGGATTATTACTACGCTACCTGTATTTTGTATGCTGTATCCTGACTACTGGCGGAGATATTGTGGATTAACCTACAACCCCGCTACAATTGGTGGCAAGCGACTGGATTTAAACCTCACAGAAGAGCAGCGTTCGGGAGTTATTTATACGAACGAGGAAGAGAAAAGCAGCGGTTCGGTAAAACAACCATTCGGATAAAACCGGAATTCAGGAATATGTGAAACTATACGAACGGACAGTGAATGGAGACGAACTATGCAACATTGAAGCGAACCACATTAAAGGAACTATTGGAGGGAAGGGGAAAAATAGCCAGCAACAAGACGTAAGCTGCCCTTATTGCCGAACTCATGGAGGGAGACAGAGCAACTCATGCAGCACCTCCACTGGAGACAGCGGAAACGGAATTCAAAAAAGAGCTCAGGAGCAGGTTGGCATTTTATCCAGAAACACCAACCACAGAAACCGTGGACTGATGGCAGATGTGCACGAATACCTCATGGCCAGGCGACCAGCAGTCCAGGGAAGGGTCCCCAGCTCCATCCAGCATTCTCCAGGGGAAAGCCCCCACCCCACCAAGCATTTAAGACTTACACCGAAGCAGAGGGCGATATCGACGAATACCTGCAGGACTTAGAAAGGTTGTGCCAGCTGCATGACATCAGACCAGGTACCCCTGCTTGCCGGCAGATTATCTGGCCGCGCAGCAGAAGCTTACCGTGCAGACCCAGACGAGGACAGCAGGGACTATCCGGAGGTCAAGCAAGCCATCTTAGCTCGTTATGCCATCACCTCAGAGGCATACATACTCAAATTCCGAGATCTTAAAAAAAAAAAACAGAAGAAAGACTCTCACACGGAATGGGCTCACCGATTTATAGCGAGCCGCCAAGGGATGGGTGGAAGCAACACAAGCCACCACCCTAGAAGATCTGTTTCAGTTAATCGCATTGGAACAGTTCTTCAACGGGCTGACGACAGGCCTGCAGAATTTGGTACGAGACCGTAAACCCTGTACTCTAAAAGAGGCAGCCAAACTGGCTGGCGAATTCCAGGACACCAGGAGATACCAACGATAACAGCACCGATCCGCATACGGGTCTGCAGCGTGTCTCCCAGCAGTTACTACTTCGGTACACCCATGACCAGGGGTAAGCAATATGCAGGACCCTCCGAGGTACAATACGCAGATTCGCTGCCACACCTGCAACCAGCAGGAGCATATCTAAAAGGACTGCCCACAGAACAATAACTGGCATAACCAAGGCCCACCCCCCAGTGGCAGAGCTGCGGTACATTGTTACCAGAGGGAATCTTCTGTCCCGCACACTACAGCAACACCGGTAGTAGAGCCACTGGGGGCCCTACACGAGGTCAACCCCATACAAGCTGCCTCGGATAACAACCAGGGGCACCGCCAGGTGGTACACATGGAGGGGAAGAGTGTACAGGGGTTACGTGACTCTGGGGCCACCTTGACTTTGGTCCGGAATCCTCTTGTTCCAAAGGACAATATCACCGGAGACTGTGTGGCCAAACGAGTGGCAGGGTACATCTGGATTGGGGAGCGGGGCATGGGACTGTGGAGGTGGGGATCATGCAGGATTTGCCAGCTGATGTTATTTTGGGCAACGACTTGTGGGAGCTCACTTCCGCTTTTGTCCCTCAACCCACCGTCCAGGAAGCCTACCCTGTTACTAGCCGGCAGCAGGCCCGCACCACGGCTCCATCTGATCACTCTGAGGCTCAGGTAAGCAATCTGCCCCACAACCCTGCTGTTCTTCCCTGGGATGCACCCTTCGAATTTGGCAGCGAGGTAGCCCTAGATCCCTCCCTGCAGGTCTATAAGGATAGACTAGACAAGGACCAAGACTGTCTGGAGGGAGAGAGATATGCCTGGGACAAAGGTTTACCATACCGCTACGCAGAGAAAGTAATAGCCGGGTCCATCCCCATGTCCACTAAACAGTTAATACCCTGCAAATATAGACTGGACTTGCTGCGCATCGCAAATGATATACCGTTATCAGGGCATTTAGGGATCTGCCGAACTAAACATCGGCCGAACTAAACATCGGCTGACACAGAACTTCTTCTGGCCAGGTATCTCATTTGACAATATTGTCAAACCTGCAATACCTGCCAGAGAGTAGGAAAGCGAGGGGACCGCTATAAAGCAAAACTGTTCCCTACCCATAATTGAAGAGCCCATTAGTAGGGTGGCCGTTGATTTAATAGGCCCCCTAGCTAAGCCTAGTCCCTCCGGCAAGCAGTACATCTTGACCGCAGTGGACTACACCACTAGCTATCCAGAGGCGGTGGCGCTGACCAATGTACATGCAGAGACCATAGCGGATGCCCTAATGCAAATCTTCTCCCGCATGGTATTTCCCAAGGAGATTATTTTGGATAGGGGCACCCAGTTTACTGCAGAGGTCACCCACCAACCCTGGAAGGTATGTCGGATAAAATCTATCCTAAACTCCGCTTACCACCCCCAGTCCAACAGTCTCTATGAGCAATTTAATGGGACACTTAAACAGATGATCATACGTTCATATACACTCAATCGGACTGGGAACGGTTTTTACCCCACTTACTATTTGCTTATAGGGAGGTTCCCCAAGAGTCCACCGGGTTCTCCCCTTTTGAATTATTGTTCGGGAGGAGGGTGAGGGGTCCCTTGTGTCTCATTAACCCCTTAAGGACTGGACTGTTTTTGCGATGTTGTACATTTGCGACCAGGCATATTTTTACACTTTTGTGGTGTTTGTGTTTGGCTGGAATTTTCCGCTCTCTCATTTACTGTTCCCATACAAATTATATATTGTTTTTCAGGACAAAAGGGGCTTTCTTTACATACCATTATTTATATAATCTCATGTATTTTAATTTTAAAAAAATAAAAAAAATATGATGAAAAATTGAAAAAAAATACATGTTTTTTGACTTTTACTTGAAAAATCTTTTACTCATCTACAAAAGCGAATGAAAAAAACTGCTAAATAGATTCAAAATTTTGTCCTGAGTTTAAAAATACCTAGTGTTTACGTGCTTTTTTGCTTTTTTTGCATGTTATAGGGCTATAGGTACAAGTAGGATATTGTGGTTTCAAAACATACATTTTTAAAATTTATCAATAGTGACATTGTAACACTATTATCTGTCATAAATCTCTGAATAACACCCCACATGTACATGTTTTTTTTAAAGTAGACAACCCAGGGTATTCAATATGGGGTATGTCCAGTCTTTTTTAGTAGCCACTTAGTCGAAAACACTGGCCAAAGTAAGCATTCATATTTGTTTGTGTGTGAAAAAGTAAAAAAACTAAATTGAACGCTAATTTTGGCCAGTGTTTGTGACCAAGTGGTTACTAAAAAAGACTGGACATACCCCATTTGCAATACCTTGGGTTGTCTTCTTTTGCAAATGGTATGCCATCATGGGGGTAATTCTCATTCCTGGGCTACCATACGCTCTCAAAGGCAACGTAACTAACCTGGCCATTTTCAATGTAAAAATATTTGACCCATATATTTGACCTTGTAACTTTCAAAAATGCTATAAAACCTGTACATGGGGGTACTGTTTTACTCGGGAGACATCGCTGAACACAGATATTAGTGTTTAAAAACTGGAAAACGTATCACAACAATTATATCATCAGTAAAAGTGTTGTTTGTGTGTGAAAATGCAAAAAAAGTCACTTTCACTGACAATATCATCGCTGTGATATGTTTTACTGTTTTGAATCACTAATATTTGTGTTCAGCGAAGTCTCCCGAGTAAAACAGTACCCCCCATGTACAGGTTTTAGGGTGTCGTAGAATGTTACAGGGTAAAATACAATGCTAGCAAATTAAATTCTCTGGAATTTTGGCCTGGGTTGGCAGGCAGGTCCCTCAAATTGCAATCAATAAAATTACTGAATTATGTAAAAATATTACATAAATACGCACGTAGAATTTAAATATATATGCATATTTATATATTTGAAGTCTACGTATATATTTATATAATTATTTATGTAATTTTGTATATGGACGTATGTATATTTCTTATTATTTTTATTTATTTTTATATACATAGATATATATACAAATTCATTCTAAGTGTATTTTGATATAAACATATATATATTAATTTTAAAATACAGTTAGAATAAAATTTCATATAGCTATATAATTTTTTTTAAATTTTTTATTATTATTTAAAAAAAATGTATTTAATTTAAATTACTTATTATTTATATTTTATAATAATATATATATACAATATATATAGTTATTATATATATTATATATATACGTGTGTAATTTAATTATAAGTGTATTTTATATTAATATAAGTACATATTAATATAAAAATACACTTAGTATGACATTATATATATATGATATATAGACATATTATATAGATATAATATATGTCTATATATCATATATACACATATATAATTATTTATTTATTTTTTATTAACATTAACTTTATTTTTTTAATTGATTTTACATTAGCAGGGAGACTGCCTGTCAGCACAGGCAGTCCCCCTGCAGGCAGACACATGGACACCTATTGTGACCATGTGATCGCTGTGTTAAGCGATCACATGGCCACAGGGGTCCTAAATCAGTGTGGGGAGACTGTCTGGGCTGCAGGCAGTCTCCCCACAACCGGAGCACCGCTGATCGCCGCCGGGGGAACGACGGCGATCAGGTAAGTAACGGAAACCGTTAGGACGGTTCAGGACCGTCATCGGTCCGCAATGGGAAAATCCCGATGACGGTCCTGAACCGTCCTGGGTCGGGAAGGGGTTAAGGAACACGTGCTAGAGTTTAGGGAGCTCTTGGAGGCTTTGACTCAGTCGGTGCGTACCAACCTCCAGGCGGCCCAACAACGACAGCGCAGATGGTATGATAGGGGGGCCAGGGACCTCAGCTTTCAGATAGGGCAGAAGGTGTTAATTCTATGGCCGGTCCACAGTGACAAGCTGCCGTCCTCCTGGCAGGGCTCATACAAGGTGGTAGAACAAATCTGTGATGCCACCTATGTGATCGGTCCGTGCGCAGGAGCAGGGGGCAGACGCATGCTCCATGTGAATATGCTGAAGCCCTACTATGAGCGCATAGAAGAGGTAGCAGCTATTTGCGCCTCTGCCGCAGAGGACTTTGATACCTTACCTCTCCCAGACCTCCTAGAGAAGGAGAGCCAGAATGAGGGCCTGGAAGAGGTACAGTTAGGTGAGCGCTTGAACCCCCAGGAACGGGCACAGGCTCAAAGTTTAATTAGGGAAAAAGGGGCCACCTTCTCCAATCTCCCCGGGTATACCCCTCTAGTGACCCACAGAATAGAGACCCTAGGGCAGGCCCCCCTTCGCCAACCTCCTTACCGCATACCTGAATCCATAAAGGAGAATATGCGCAAGGAGATTGAGGAGATGCTGCAGTTAGGAGTCATCGAGCACTCTGATAGCCTTTGGGACTCCCCAGTAGTTCTGGTGCCGAAGCGGGATGGAACTACCCGCTTCTGTATAGACTACCGAATGCTCAATGATAAAACAGTATCCAATGCCTATCCTATGCCACGAATAGACGAGCTCCTAGACAAAATGGCCAGTACCTCACTACAATAGATCTTTGTAAAGGGTATTGACAAATTCCCCTAGCCGAGGACGCCATTCCTAAGTCGGCGTTTGTCACCCTGTTTGGCCTGTACCAGTTTAAGGTCATGCCATTCAGGATGAAAAATGCTCCGGCTGCATTTCAGAGGATGGTGGATCGGCTATTGGATGGGTTCCAGGAGTACGCTTGTGCCTTCTTAGACGATATAGCCATTTTCAGCCACTCCTGGACCGAATATTTGACCCACATAGGAGCCGTACTAGACCGTATTCAGGAGGCAGGGTTAACCCTTAAGCCCAGTAAGTGCCATATAGGAATGGCGGAGGTCCAATACGTGGGACACAGAGTAGGAAGCGGCCAACAAAAACCTAGACCCGCCAAGATAGAGGCAGTAGCCAAATGGCCAACTGGGTTCTCACGTACTAAAACCCAAGTCCTAGCCTTCCTAGGTACCGCAGTGTACTACTGTAAATTTGTGCTCGATTACAGCACCCTGGCCAAACCACTCACTGATCTAACCCAGCAAAAATCTCCCTAAAATAGTAGTCTGGGCCCCAGAGTGTGAACAGGCATTCCAACAACTGAAAGAGTGTGCTTTTGAAATTCCAGGGCCAGTTGGTATACATTTAAGGGTATTTACTAAGGGAACTTGCTATAGTAATAGAAACAGTACTGTTCTTCCAGGATTCTTGTTTTACATGAATTGGACCTGAATAGCCTGTTATGAGAGATATTGTTGTACAATTTTTGCCTCCTGTAGAACCTGATTTTTGTCTCCTGTAGGATCCACATTTTTGGCAAAATGTGGCAGTGGATCGTGCTTCCAAATCCTGCCATTTTTTGAGATGGCTGATAGAGCCATGCATCTTTGCTTGCAATTTGCAATATGTGCCATCTGTAATGTCTTATTATGCACCCACAAGAATATAAATGTAAGGTCCCACAGTCTTGTGTGGGATCTGCCCTAGATCCCAGTGTTGTACTCTGACACCTGGAAGATTAAGGGTCATAGCTGAAGAGGAATGGGTGTGTGGAAACTGTCTTTGTCACTGCTCCCTCTTCTGGGTAGCACGGTACAAGTGGACATAGGACAACAAATGCAAAGACTTCACAAGTAACAGTGCCACTTTAAGTGCATTCTGTATAGAAGTATAGATAAGTGTTTCTAAATATGTGATATACTAATGTGTTTGATGCGGTTCCAAACAAAAAGGTTACTGTGAGCAAAAAATGTGTTTATATTAGGTGAAAATTCTCGATCTTAGATTGAAAATTGGCTTAAAGATAAAGTACAATAAGTAGTTAATGGAACATTTTCAGGTTGGAGCATCTGTGGGCTTTTTTTTTTCAGGATACACTTCTCTTTAATGTGAATATAAAAAATTTCAAAGTGCATTGAAAATCATGTTTGCAGATGACACAGAGCAACATAATGTAATACAGAACATCTTTGTCTTACTGTAAATAACCTATTCCTCTGTATTTTAAATGTCTTTTGTCCTCCCTCCCCCCACAGGTTACAGGAGTACTGTCAATGTACATCACTCTTTTTAAACTATTTTGACAAGATATGCATGTCTGTGATATAGTTGCTTCTGTAGCTCATTTCTTACCGTTCGATTTATTCTTTTCTGATGTACATAATTTATAGTACAAAGCTATATTCAAAGTGAATAGAGGTGATTTGAGGATTTTATATATATATATATATATATATATATATATATATATAATTTCAATAAGATATGCACAATTTAAACTAGAAGGGCAACAGAGATGCATTTTTTCTGAGCTGACCTTAACACTCTAGTACTCAAATACCAGTCAAAAGATTTAGAACACCTCTATTTGTCCAGTTTAATTGAAATTTGCACCGTTTACTGGAAATCCATCTCCATCGGGCAGCCCTAACAGCATGGACCTCTTGAACGGCAAACCGCCGGGGGCCACAAAACATGGCGGCTCGTACCCTGTTGCAGGGGTCCGCAGGGCGGCCAGGCCCCCTGGAGTGACAGGCCCGGTTGCAGCTGCGACCGCGGTATGTACGCCACTGCACACAGATACATTGTATCTTTATGTCTTTATCTGCATGTGTGCCAGTGTCTGGATCGGTGTGTCTGTGTGTCAGTCTGTATGTGTGTGTCTGCATGTGTATCAGGATATGTATCTTTGTGTCAGGGTATATATCTGTGTACCTGTATGTGTGTGCATCTGTGTGTCTGTATATCTGCATGTGTGTCAGTGTTTTGTGTTTGTATCTGTATTTTTTTTTTTGTCCGTGTTTGTATCTGTATGTTTGTGTATCATTGTGTCTGTATGTCAGTGTGTGTATCTGCATGTGTGTCAGTGTTTGCATCTGTGTGTCTGTGTTTGTTTATGTATATCAGCATGTGTGTGTCTGGGGCAGAGGGAGCCTGGGGTAGAGGAGAAGCAGGTAGAGCCTAGGGCAGAGAAAAAAGGCATATAGGACAGAGAAAAACGTATAAATTTGACAAATGCAGCTATATTAATTACAAACATTTTGTTAATGGGAGGTATTCAATTTATGGGAATGGGATGCCAAGAGGTACTCAAGTGAAAACAGTTTGGGAACCACTGTCCTAAAGAATCATTGGTTTTAGAGCTTTTCTATGAGGAGATGCCTGCAATAGCTGTGCAACTGCCCTATTTTCCAATGAGAAGCACTTGGTTTGCCTGGGCAGAGCAGATTTGTTGCAAGAAGGCAGTCCCTTCCATAGGTTTGGATATAAATAAGATCTTTTTTGAAGACCCCATCTAAAATTGAAAAAAAACATGCTGTGTTCCTTTAACATGTTACCCTCACAGCACGTCATGCAGTTGTAGGGAACTGCTACATATGTAGTGACGTTTGCCTCTAGATGAGCATTGCACATTCACTACTGGAGATACATGCACGTAGCAGCAATGTTAGATGTCATGTTGAATTTGTTTGACTTGGGTGTGCTTTTGCATATCTGTCTCAGCTTAATAAATGCTATAGATTTTCTACTAGATTTTCATTTTATTTGCATTGTATATATTTTTGTCTCATGTAGGATCCGATGTATATGGGTTTTTCTGCTTTTTGTACATTCTTAATCTTATAGTCAGTTTTGTGGTGTTTACATTATGAGTGTAATTATAGGAAGGAATAATTTGTCCGTGGTTGATACCATCTTATATATTTCTGTTTTTCTATACACTTTTATGATTGAGACTGAGCATTCATCTCCTAGCCTTCCACCTCCTAACAAATAATGCTTACTCTCAACATCTTTGCTATTTCTATACTAACAGAAATCATTATACCCTGAATTAACCTTTGCCTCCATTATTCCGCTAAATCAATAAAGACATTTAGCCAACCTGTGTATACACAATAACATGTACTGTGTAGGATTGCACTTTTGATAGCTCATTGTTTCACATTTAGTTTCAAGATTACAGTAAATTACCCATGATAAATGCAACACTAAATCAGTAATTCCAAAATATGAGCAACAAACCTGCAACTTTTTCACACCAATAGCCACCAGATGGAGCTTTCATGTTGTTTAAAGGCCTCCATGCCTCTATATATTCCTTTTTCAACATATTGCATTGTAACAAGAGCTGCTATATTAATAACATCCAGTTTTCAACTTTTCTCTAAGTACCCACGGATTCAAGATACAAGCTTTACAGAGGTCACAGCCGAGGAATATCGTATGGTGCTGGCCACAGGTAAGACTGTTTAGGAATGTGTGTATGCATGTATTTAAATATTTTGTATTTGTATCTTATAGTTAAAGTAGCTAAAAGATAAAATCTTTTTTTGAAATACTCACATTGGAATTTGACTAAAAGCTTGTCACAAGACTAAATAGGGACTACTTTGTCTTATGTACTTTTCTTTGCCGTTTTGTCAGTTCCCCCAGCTGTCACTAATTACTGGTGTGGCTTTAAGGCATTGTCTCGCTAATGCAAGATAAAAACTATGGTTGGTCTTGCGGGATCCTCCCTAGATATCAGTGTTTTACTCATGCATTCACGAGAATACAGCATTGACATGAGCTCCTGGCACATGAAGCGCCAGGAGCTGAAGAAATCCGCTAGATGGAGATGGTGTCACCCGCAAAGGAGCAACTTCAGGTACCCATATCTCCACTGCTTGCTGGTCACTGCACACCTAGCTGCGATGCCACCAAAATATGTCTAGAACTTGACAGAGCTTTTTTAAAATATTTTATCATACATTAGTTGGTTAATCTTGATGCAGTTTTTTTAAGTTTGAATTGTAATGATAATTTGGGCATTTCTTTTATATTGTTATAGGAGTGGCACTTTCATAAATAAAGATGCTTAACCCCTTAAGGACACATGCCTTGTCATGATTCACTTTTATTCCAGAAGTTTGGTCCTTAAGGGGTTAAAGGGATACTGTTGGCACCCCGACCACTTCAGCTCATTGGATTAGTCTGGGTGCTGTCCCTTTTGCACCTAGTGCTGCAATGTAAACAATGCAGTTCCAGACAACTGCAATGTTTACATTGCAGAACTGAGTCTGCCCTCATTGGCTGTCTACCAGACAGCCACTGGGGGCGCTTCCGGAATCGTAACTGACTTTTGGTTCATTATCTGACGCTGGACGTCCTCACGCACTGCATGAGGACCTCCAGCATCAGATTTTTCCACATAAATTGATTCAATGCTTTCCTATGGGAGGCCTAATGTGCTCATCGTGGGACGGAGGAGAATGTGGAGCTACGACCCAGAAAAGTTTTTAACCCTTTATTTACCGGGGGAGTAGGGGGTGGGGGGGGGGACTGCGAAGGAGGGGAGAGGCTGATGGATCGGTAGTGCACTACACAATCCCTTTAAAGAAACACTCCAGACACACAGCTTGTTGAAATGCTTTGTGTTTGGAGTCTTTCATATTTGTGACCATCTATAAATGTTCAGATTTCAATAGCAATTGGCACTTTTATAATTAGGGACATTAGGTTTTATTTTGTATCTGTAAGCTCAAGAGGGCTAACAGAAGTCGCAGACACACTGGGCTAATGCCAGGCTGCTAGGAGCAGCATTATAGCTCATTGAGAAGCATAAAAATCATGAACACAGAGGCTTCTCATTGAGAAAGAGGGAGGACTTGCAGGTCTGTGGGTTTGCAGAGCAGCAGGTCTGTAGCTTTTTCAAGCTTCTTTTCTATATCCCCAAAGAAAATGTGCATAACAAACACGTACATGTTTTCTTTGGAGGTATATCTATGAAATTGTTAAAAAAAAGAAAATAAAAAAAATAATTTTTTTTTTTTAATGGAGTGTTCCTTTAATCCTGATCCTAAATATTTACAATACTACATTTAACAAAAGTGTTTGATACACATCACATGTATAAACAACATGAAATAATAACATTTTGGATGCCAAATAGAACGTTTTTATTAAAGGGTCTCTCTAAGCATGTATAACAATTTTAATTGCATAGGTTATGGTGCAGACTGCCCTGTCACTGGATTGATTTGTAAAAATAACAGGTATTAGACTGCTCCTGGTCATCCAAAGCCTATCCAGCTTGTGTCTGTGCAATTCTCTCCCCTCCTTACGGTCAGTATATTGAAATATCACTGAACTGTGAACAGAGCTTATGGATAGGCTAATAGCAGCTCTGATATGCCTACGACCAGTTTACCAATCATTTCCACTCATTATTTTGAAGAAAATTGTGATTGAGTCAAAGCTAAATACCCTCTTGACAGGGTTTTTGAGATGATAAAAAAAACCTGGAGAATGCTTGGCGAGCACACAACCAACAACTCATATAACTGAACACACCGAATGTTCTCAGTATTTAAAAAAATATGCATGAACATTGAACCCCCCAAAAAAGGTGATCTTTGTGCTATCGCCAACTGTTACATAACCACGACAAAGTAAAGGACACATATAAACTGGCATGGCACAAACCATCTAGAACCACAAAGGAAAATACAATACCGTTGGTACATAGTACTGGATAAAATACACAAAATATGGCCCCAATCATCAACCAACAAATGCTGGAGGTGTGACACAGGTGGGGACAATGGTACACACATGGTGGGCGTGCAAAGCTTTGCAACCCTTCTGGCACAAGATCCACAGACTAATAGAGCAAGTAACCAATACTAACATAGATCTTAAGGTGGAAACATGTCTCCTATTTATACCACCAGAGGAGATGAATAAAGTCCAATGGGCAGCCACCTATCACATTCTAATCTCAGTAGCTACAGTGAGCTCTAGATAGTGGAAAACACCTACTGCACCACACTTTAACAAATCAATACTAACTGGATGTATGAGACTATGTTCTCGAGCCAAATAGGTGCAAGGAAAACCAAAACTAAACCTAATTTGATGTGGAAAGCATACTGGTCAAACCTAAAATTGAGCAACAATAGCAATACCCCATAGTCCCCTACAACAAGTAATGAAATTAAAGTAAGCAGAGTGCCAACTCAGCGATATACCACCATACAATCTTGAGTACATGCGAGCAATAGACTGAGGCCAAAGCCTCATACAATAGCACAGGAAACTACAAAACTTAAGATGCCACGAACACCACGAGATCCTAAGCAAATACTGTATTAATAAAGGCAGGAGGAATGGGTGTTAAAGCATATATGACACTGGACGAAGTGGTTGCCTATACGTTAAATTACGTTATGCCACACTTAAATACAGTAGGATGTGCTAATCTACGCAAAGACCATGATGTATCTGCATGTTATTTAATCTTTGGACTGTGCATTACCGTTGTTAATAAATTGTCAAATGGAAAAATTAATATACAAAGACCTATCGAATGTTGACAAAGCAATGTAAGATTTGAGATTCTCCCTATCCCTCCTTTTTCATCTGTACCCCATATACTTTACAAAACAATAAAAATTGTCAAATCGAAAGAAAAAAAAACATGGAGACCAAAATTATAGGCTCTTAATTGGTTAAGCATCTTCCTTGTATGAGAGCAGTCTGTTTGCTGGAGTTTTAGAAAATGTTTAATTTTATTAATAGGATATCTGTAGAGTGCATTAAAAATAGACTGTCACTTTCAACCTTATGTCCAGTGACCTTTTAATACATTATGCATTCATCAGTTACTCATCTGGGCTCCAAAAATGCCTGCTAGGTTTTGGGGTTTTTGTTTTTTACATTACATCAAGTATAGCTTGCTGAGGTCTCTGTGTTATTTGATAGTAGGGCACCAAATTCCTCCGCTAGCATTTTACTCCTCTCTATACAGTACAGAGAGCTGAGCACAATAAAACAAGCTGGACACAGCATTAGGATATCTATAAAATACATAGAGCTGAGTACAATACAGAGATAACCATACCACAAGCAGAACTGAAAAAGATAGCTATATAATACGCAGAGTTAGGCACAACACAATGATACCTATACAATACACAGCCTACATAGATAACCATACAACAGGTAGAGCTGTATAAAATACAGAGAAATAACACACAGAGCTGGCACAGTAAGGTGATAACATAACTATCCCACACAGCCTGGGTCACTGTGATGGATTACATAGAGCTGCAATACACAGATTCCCACACAGTGCATGTCTTTGTATAATGCTTTAGCTCTCTCTCTTCCGGTTTTCCTAGCCACCTCTCAGCTCTCCCATGCATGATCTCATCTTCAGTAGTGCTTTAATAACTTTTGCTTTCTATTAAATATTGCTACTAATATGAAAAAATAGTAAAGCTACTCCATAAGCTTTCAACACACATTCTGCATATGGTTAAAGCAGCAGGGTACTGATAGACTCCAACCATGTCAGCTACTCCTGACTCATTGTTGGCAACCATATCTGCTACTCCAGACTCCCTATTAGCACTCAACACACAGTGTGCAAGGATTAAAACAATAGAACACTGATAGACTACTTTTTACGTTTGCAGTTGGTAATGAGGAGGCAAGAAGTAGCTGACATGGTTACCAGAATCAACAATTATGGCAGATTTAAATCCGAATCAGATCAATTCTCAAAGTCACAGACAGTCCTGCAGTTTAATGCTTTACACCTTTTTAACTAGCCACAGCATGATTGCCTCAGGTCTCAGCTGTACAGTGACTGAGCACTTTAAATAAGATTAAGGATATGTGCAATATGAGTCATTAAAACTATTAGTGACTGGCAGCATAGTGCTCTGTTTCAAAAATGTTCCTCTCCTCTTGTCACCACTGGGCTTCCCTGTGTGTGTGTGTGTGTGCAATATATATATTACACACACACAATACTAGGAGATGGGGTTACAGTGCCAACAAGAGAGATGAGGAAGAAGCGTTCTTGGAAGTAACACGGAAAGAGCAGAGCAGCAGCCCCTGCCAAGTGTATAATATCATTTTATTTTATTTTTTTTCTTATCCGATAGCCCTAGTGACTGCCAAAGGGCTAATTAAGCAAGTGAATTTACATACATATATATAGCAGTCACTAGGGCTATCGGATAAGAAAAAAAAAAAGATATTATACACTTGGCAGGGGCTGCTACTCTGCTCTTTCCGTGTTACTTCCAAGAACGCTTCTTCCTCATCTCTCTTGTTGGCACTGTAACCCCATCTCCTAGTATTATCAGCCAATGATGGACCCTGAATAGAGAGGAAAATAGCATGTCTCCACTCCTAGGCTCAGCCGCCCTAATTGGAACTCAGTGGAAATTCCTTCTTAAAGGACACTAGGCATGTGCAAAACCTGCTGACACAGGGAAGATTCCAACAAACCCCATTTTTGGACATGCCTAGCTAAACTCAAGTAAGTGTTTCCAATGAGTTGGGATCGGCCCTGCAGAACTGAAACCTATTACAGAATTAAATAGACTTTTAATTTTTTTCCCTTTTTTTCCCTTTTTTTTTTTATTTGGCTTACCACCCTCCACTCCAAAAAAGTATCCTAGTGTATTTAAACTACTGCAAATAAATGTTTTCCCGACATAAAACTTGTTGGGGTACTGTATGAGCCTCCACTGATGCTGACATTATCCAAGCTCTAAAAAAAAGATACACTGTCTCCTATACCTATTATTATTATTATTATTATTATTATGTTTTACTCATTTATTTGTGTAGTTTTGTAGAAAGTTTGCGAATGAGCTTTTATAAATAATGGTAAATAACATTCTTTTTTCTGATGACAGACAGTCTAAAACAGATGGAAGAGATGAAAAAGGGAATGTGGACAAGACTCAAAGAAAAATTTAATGCTAAATCCCCTCAGGATGGAGCAAAGGACTAATGCTATTGTTAAGAGAACAATCCGCTTCCACTGCCCCTTCCTGCACATACACCAGCTACTCTATATACAGATGCTCAAATAAACAGGCTCTTTCCTCCAACTTCAGCTGAGTTTTTATTTTAACCCATTGATACCTGGATTAATTTAATTTCTTCTATGTTTTTGTTACACTTTTTGCATCCTACATATTTCAGTTGTTTAAATACACAGTTTTGACAAACAGAAAAGGCCACAAATTCATTTTCAGCTGTGAGTCATCGTGTTAAATAATTTTAATAATTTTAAATTCTCTGAAATTTCCAGTTCAGCATAAACCACTTCAGAATGCCTGTTGCTTTGCACAGCGATTAAATTTATGTAGCAAGTTAATCCTGTCAAATTTTTTCCAATTAAGACCTTGATGTAACATTTTTGGATAAGCTTTAAAATGATTTAATATTTTTGGATACACTTTAAAAAAAAAAAAAAAAATTTCACATTAAAATCTCTATACATATATGTATACAGTATCTCACAAAAGTGAGTAGACCCCTCACATTTTTGTATATATTTTATATCTTTTCATGTGACAACACTGAAGAAATTACACTCTGCTACAATGTAAAGTAGTAAGTGTACAGCCTGTATAACAGTGTAAATTTTCTGTCCCCTCAAAATAACTCAACACCATTAACCCCTTAAGGACAGATGACGGAAATATTCTGTCGTGATTCCCTTTTATTCCAGAAGTCATGTCCGTAAGAGGTTAATGTCTAAACCGTTGGCAACAAAAGCTGTGTTTTGCGTTATTTTGAGGGGGCAGCAAATTTACACTGTTATACAGGCTCTACACTTACCACTTTACATTGAAAAGATATAATAAAATATTTACAAAAATGTGAGGGGTGTACGCACTTTTGTGAGATACTGTATCTTTCTCCTTCTCTTATCTGTAAACATTGCAGTTATTTATCGACCCCCAGGTTCTCCTCGTATCTTCCTTTACCATGTTGCTGCCTTGCTTCCTTACTTCCTTTCAAGCAATATCCTATCCCTAATTCTAGGGGATTTCAACATTCCCATTAGCCCGCCTTTGTTCTCAGTAGCCTCAAAACAAATTTCAATTACCTCACCCATTGTGCTATCGCAATGGGCTAATTCTCCCACACATGTAGCGTGCAATACCCTAGATCTTATTTTTTCAAATGCATGCTCAGTCTCCAATCTCTAATACTCAATTTCCTCTATCAGACCCCCACCTGCAACTCAGGAGGAATCTGAATACTCTGGACCTCCAGCAGCTCTCAGCTGATCTCCATTCCAAACTCTCATCTATCCCTACCCTCTGCTATCCATCTCTGGCTACCCGTTAATATAATGCTACCCTCACATCTGCCCTTGACGCTGCAGCCCCACACCAAGCACGCTCCTCAAGGACGGTGTGCGTCCAATTGTGGCACACTAAGTCAACCCACTACCTGCAGAGATGCTCCCGTTCAGCTGAATGCTGCTAGAGGAAGTCTCGCAACTTGTCAGACTTTCTACACTATAAATTTGTCTTGCGTTCATACAGTGCAGACCTCACCCTTACTAAACAGTCCTACTTTTTTTTTTCTCATTAGTTCATGCTCCTGAGATGCCTAATCCTAGGCATCTAATACTTTTAACGCTTCTTCGCCCTGCTGTGGCCACCCCACAAACTAATCTTTCAGCTGAAAGCTTTGCATGTTACTTTACTGACAAGATTAAACAATTAAGGAATTAAAGCGGCACTGTCATGCCGAATCCTGTTTTTTGGTTGTTTTTTTTAACCCTCCTCCACTATCTCTAATTGACCCCCTAGTCACCCCCAAATGCCCCTAAGCCCCCCATATTACCTATTTTTTATCTTTATTTTCTGCCCCGATCTTTATTCAGGGCGCTGCCATCTTTGTGTGGTTAGATGAAGTCCCTGTGGGACACGTCATCTGCCCACACTAGATAGCACTGAGATTCCCGTATATGCTCAGTGAAACACCTGGACATGCAAACGGGAATTTCATCCATTCATTCATCAGACAGACGAATGAATGAATAGAAAAATCAGACGAACAAACTAACACTTTGTATCAGTGTTCGTTTGTTAAGTTTATTACAAGGAGGGAGCTAACGGCACGCGGCTCCCTCCTTGTAATATGTAAAGATAGAAGCGGCAGGGAGCAGTGCTCCCCAACACTTCATAAGCCCCCCAGGTCCCCCCTCACTCTATGGGGGTCAATATGACCCCCATTATAGCACAAGGGGGATTAAAATCTCCCCAATACCCCTACTCGCTATACCGTGAGTAGGGGAATGTCCACTAAACCGTAACAGTCACTGTAAAAAACAAACAAACAAAACACCTTACTATGCGGCCCGCACCCCTGAGCGGCGGCTGGGGGCCATAAATTACAATGGGGGGGACGGGGACCTACTGTCCTCCCCCCCCCACCCCTGGGCGGCGGGTGGGGGCAATGATGATAATGAGGGGGGACGACCTATGGGTGGGGGCAATGATGATAATGAGGGGGGGGACTTATTGTCCTCCACCCGGCCCCCACCCCTGGGCAGCGACTTATTGTCCTCCACCCGGCCCCCACCCCTGGGCAGCGACTTATTGTCCTCCACCCGGCCCCCACCCCTGGGCGGCGGGTGGGGTCCATGATGATAATGAGGGGGGGGACCTACTGTCCTCCCAACCCTGGGCAGCGGGTGGGGGCCCTACTGTCCTTCCCCCCACCCCTGGGCGGCGGGTGGGGGCCAAATGATAATGAGGGGGTGGACCTACGCTTCTCCTCTCACCAGCTGTCCGCTTGATCCAGTACTTCCCAATCTCATCAGAGTTCTCACCCCATGTATTCTACCATCCTTAACATAGATCCTAAACTGCTCTCTTTCATCTGGTGTCACTGCTCCCCTTAAGCGTGCTACTGTCGTACCATCCTAAAAAAGCCACTCTACTGAGACTGCTCTTATTAAAGTTACAAATTACCTATTCACAGCCAAATCCAAAGGCCACTATGTTGCTTTTGACACTGTTGATCATGGACTCCTTCTCCCAACTCTTCAATCTCTTGGTCTCTGTGACACAGCACTATCATGGTTATCCTCCTATCTCTCCCAATGCTCATTTAGTGTCTTTTTTTTTTTTTTCAACAGCACCTTCTCTCCTCATCCTGTCTGTCGGAGTCCCTCAAGGTTCTGTTCTTGGTCCCCTCTTGTTTTCTCTATACTGCCTCTCAAGGTTCAGTTCTTGGTCCCCTTTTGATCTCTCTCTTGGCAAACCCCTTTTGATCTTCTCTTGGCAAACTCATTAATTCATTTAGATTCCACTACCACCTGTACACTGACGACACCCAAATATATCTCTCCTCCCTGCTGCCCTACAACGTGTCACCAATTGCTTTTCTTCTATCTTTGGATTTTTTTCCCGCTTTCTGAAACTCAATCTCTCTAAAACTGATTTTGTTATTTTTCCTCCTCCTAACACTGATCCTCCTTCTTCACTCTCCCATCCTTTCAAGCTCGCTGTCTTGGTGTCACTTTTAATCCTGGCCTCACCCTGGCGCCTCATGTCCAGTCTGTTGCTGAAACCTGTTGATTTAATCCTAAAAACATTGACCACATGCGCCCCTTTCTTAAACAAGATGCTGCCAAGGAGCTTGTTCGTACTCTAGTAATCTCTTGAATCAATTACTGCAATTCTCTTCTAATTGATCTCCACAACAATCTATGGTGAATGCTGCTGCCAGTCTGATCTGTCTCTCCTGCCGCTCCTCTTACACTTGCTTCCTGTCCACTATAGGTGTCAATTTACAATACTAACCCTTACCTATAAAGCTCTAACCAACTCTAGCCCCTCTTACATTTCTTCACTGATTCATAGGTATGCTGCCTCTCGGTCTCTCCACTCTACTGGTGACCTTCTCCTTTATGCTGCTCGCACCCTTACTGCAAATTCATGCCTGCAAGACTTCTCACGGGTGGCTCCTTTCCTTTGGACCCCCTGTCAGACTCTCCCCTAGTCTTCAATCATTTAAGAAGTCCCTCAAAACCCATTTGTTCAGGAATGCTTATAGTTTAGCTTTCTCCTATAGGGCCACACTTCACTCTCACCTCCAGCTCTGCTCATGTCTATTTGCTGTCTCTCTCAATACCCTTCCTATTGTGTTTTTATACCCCACCTCTTCTTCTAGACTGTAAGCTTGTTTGAACAGGGTTATATATATATATATATATATATATATATATATATATATAGTATAGTTGAAAAAGGATGCACTCAGAGGTTTTTTAGAATATAGTGTATTTTAATCCATTAAAGGTTTACAAATGACTTGATCGACGTTTCGACCCAATAGGGTCTTCCTCAGGATCCTGAGGAAGACCCTATTGGGTCGAAACGTCGATCAAGTCATTTGTAAACCTTTAATGGATTAAAATACACTATATTTCTTCTAAAAAGACCTCTGAGTGCATCCTTTTTCAACTATACTATTTATCAGCATAGGTCTGCACCGGGGCACAGTGACTATTACTTCTTTGAAGCAAGGGTGAGTGCCATTATTATGTTTTATATATATATATATATATATATATATATATATATATATAATCTTGGTGCTGTTTCTAAGTGTGTAGTTGGAGATATTCTGGAAAGTTTTACAGAAGCTTCAACTGTCTAAGAGTTGTGCTAAGAGCTTTCTTTTCTACTGTTACAGGTAAGATTCATCTGTAGGAAAAGGTTACTGATTGCACAAGGTTTAAATTCCTGTTGGTAATTATAAGGCATTTGATTTGATTAAGCTAGTTACTTGCTATTGATTGCTGGTTAATTAGCTATTGTTTGCAAATAAGCAGAGGCCTACCCAGGTGTTAAACATTCCTAGTGGGTGGTGATTTTAGGAGTTATATAAGGCTTGGTCTCATTAGCTTGTCTAATATAGCTTGGTGCTACTTCTAAGTGTGCAGTTGGAGATATTCTGGAGAGTGCTGTTTCTAAGTGTGTAGTTGGAGATATTCTGGAGAGTGCTGTTTCTAAGTGTGTAGTTGAAAACTGGAGGTAATCTGAGGTATTCAGGAGGATAAATACAGTTAAGATTTGTCAGATTTAAATTATTCTCCTAATTGGAATGGCAGACTTAGTTCAGTGTAACAATTGCTATGCATGTTTCACGTTCCACTTTTTGGAGGTTTGGTTGTTGTCTAATCTGTAGACAGTTCTCTATCTTGCGGCAGGAGATTGTAATTTTGAAGTCTGAGATTTGTAAATTATCTGGTGAACAAAATCATACTGGAACTGCTGCAAAGCCACTGCCGCAGAGACATACTAGGAAAGGCAGATGGATTACTGTAGGATCTGGTAGACTTAGAGTTGTGGATAAAAGGCATTTTGCACAGTCTGTTGCTCTTCAAAATTCATTTTCTGCACTTTCAGAGTGTAATGGTGTTGTGGAGAGAGGCGCTGAGGCTAGTGGTGTTGTGGAGAGAGGCACTAAGACTAGTGGTATTGTGGAGAGAGGCACTGAGGCTAGTGGTGTTGTGGAGAGAGACACTGAGGCTAGTGGTGTTGTGGAGAGAGGCACTGAGACTAGTGGTGTTGTGGAGACCGGCTTGGAGACTATGGTGAGGCCTAATAGAAAGCAGTTGTTGTTGGGGATTCCATTATAAGAGGTGTGGAGATGGACAATGGTGGTCTTGTGAGGTGTCTTCCGGGAGCTACTGCTCACAGAGACAGGAGACGTATCTGTAATATTGTTAAGCAAGCAAAGCAGGAAGGGGAATTGGATGTACTTGTCCATCTAAGGACAAATGACTTGGCTTGCAATGAGGTTTCAGAGGTTAAGGAAGTTTTTAGTGTTTTTGCCAATGATATACGGGCAGGTTGCTTCCACACTGTCATTCTCTGAAGTTCTGCCTGTGCATAACACTCAGAACGACAGGCGGATGCGTATTAGGGACTTTAATTTGTGGCTTGGTGAATGGTGTAGGGAGCAAGGATTTGGCTTTATTTCTCATGGTAGCTCTGTTTGGAATGGAAATAAACTGTACAAAAAAGATGGTTTGCATCTTTCTCAAAAGGGAACAAATGTTCTCAGTGAGCAGTTCAGAGGTTTTGCTAGGATGTATTTAAACTAGGAGGGGGGGCAAAAGGGTGATAAAACATCAATCCAATTGTCCCCCAAAACAAGGACAGAAGGTGCCTGTAGCAAGTGTGTTAAAAAATGATAAGCTTAGTCATGTCTACAAATGCTCGAAGTTTAGGGAATAAAATCCATGAACTTGTGGCAATAATGGCAACTGATCGTGTAGATTTAGTCGCTGTTACTGAGACATGGTACAATGAGAAAAATGATTGGGACATAGCAATACCAGGGTACTCTTTATATAGGGAAGGCAAGAAAGGGGGAGGGGTGGCCTTGTATGTGAAGGATAGCATAAAATCTAGCCTAATAAAAGTTAGTGAGGCAAACATAGAGTCCGTTTGGGCTACGTTAGAATTTGGTAATCACACAGTAACTCGTGTAGGTGTGATTTATAGGCCCCCAGGACAAATTGAAGAGTTAGATAATCTACTAGTTGAGGAAATAGCTAAAATGACAATGAAGGGGGAAGTTATCATCATGGGTGACTTTAATCTTCCTGATGTAAATTGGAAAACAAAATTAGCTACTTGTGCCAGGAGCACACATATTCTAAACTCCCTACTGGGATTGTCTCTAAAACAAGTTGTTGAGGAGCCAACTCGTAAAGAGGCCATACTAGATTTAGTGTTAACAAATGGAGATTTGGTATCAGATATTACTGTAGGTGAAAGTTTAGGATCCAGTGATCATCAGTCAGTGTGGTTTAATATAAGAACAGTGACTGAGTCACACCACACAAAAACAAAAGTTTTAGACTTTAGAAAAACAGACTTTTCTAAAATTAGAATATGGGTAGAGGAGTCATTATCAGACTGGAGCAATTTAAATGGAGTCCAAGAGAAATGGGATTATTTAAAAGTTGCACTATTGAAGGCAACAGAAAATTGCATTAGGCTTGTCAGTAAAAGCAAAAAATTCAAGAAACCACTGTGGTACTCCGCAGATGTGGCCAAAATAGTTAAAAACAAAAAGTTAGCATTTAGGAATTATAAAAAAACCCAGAGTGAGGAGACAAAATGATCTATAAGATTAGGCAGAAAGAGGCTAAGCAAGTTATAAGAGCTTCCAAATCACACACAGAAGAGAAAATAGCACAGTCAGTAAAAAAAGGGGATAAAACATTTTTTAGATACATAAATGAGAAAAGAAAAGTAAAACAAGGATTAGTTAGATTAAAAACAAAAGAAGGAAGGTATGTAGAAGAGGATAAAGGTCTAGCTGACTGCCTCAATGAATATTTTTGTTCTGTATTTACAGAAGAAAATGAAGGAAAGGGACCTCAGTTGAGAAAAAGGATAAATGAGTCATTTATTACACGTGAGTTTACAGAGGAAGAGGTTCTATTTCAACTGTCAAAAGTAAAGACAAATAAGTCAATGGGACCTGATGGAATACACCCAAAGCTATTAAAAGAGCTTAGTGGTGTACTAGCAAAACCATTAACAGATTTATTTAACCAATCATTGTTAACAGGAGTAGTCCCAGAAGATTGGAAGTTAGCGAATGTTGTGCCCATTTACAAGAAAGGTAATAGGGAGGAGTCGGGCAACTATAGGCCAGTAAGCCTTACTTCAGTAGTGGGGAAAGTGATGGAAACCATGTTAAAGGATAGGATTGATGAACATCTACAAACACATGGATTTCAAGATCAGAGACAACATGGGTTTACTTCAGGGAGATCATGCCAAACTAATCTTATTGATTTTTTTGATTGGGTAACTAAAATTATAGATCAGGGTGGTGCAGTAGACATTGC